CTATTACTGATATTCAACATGTGAGCCGCTTTGACCAGAAATGAATAGTTTTGACACAACAAAATCCTAAAGTTGAAAAATTTCGATTTTGAACATCTCTGTAATCTTTTTCGATAGACCAAAAATGTGATATATCGATGAAATCAGCTCTTCAGGGAGAATAAAAAAATGCGATAAATTACAGGGTTTTCCATTTTAAATATCAATGTTGCTACTACTTTCTAGTAGAAGCGGCAACACTGCATTGTCGAAAATATTTTAAATGAAGAGAGCGTATTCTAAAATATATGCGTGCACATTTTCATGGATTTCTCTCGACATATAATGATAGTGTAAGCTCGTCGTGACATATCCTGTATAAAGCGATAGATTTTTATATGAAATCATATTAGGATTTTTTTGCAACAAAACTAACTTCATATTATTGTTCCTCATGCTTTCAAACCTCCATATGCAAAAATCATCTCATACCAATCAACAAAATTGGCTTAATTTTTTTACATTTTCAGCCTTGGAAAAGTAATAAATTCAAATTAGAAAATCGTGATTTGAAAGAAAAAACAGGAATTACTATTTTTTGTTGAACTCACCAATTCCGAGTGAACAGTATTTTTGCGAACGTAATCGTTATTACGTTCACAAAAATGCTGTTCAGATGTGTCTGTTTTTTTTAAAACCCTTCATGGGAATCATATGAAAATTCACATAATATGGGGGTTTGAAGCCATGAAGAACAATATTATGAGATCTGTAAAAAAATCCAATGATTTCATAAAAAATGTACCCCTTTTAATATTTATAATAACGCACGGCACTGTCCAAAAGGATGTTTGTCTCTGAAATATCATCATATTGATGATCATTCATACCAGTCCAAAGATCACAAAAACATAAAAAACCTGTAGTGGGGGGCCGTTTGAAATGGGACATGCTGTATTATCGTTAATGTTGAATATTTTTCGATAAAACATGGTACAGATCTATTTCAGAGGACGCCGATTCCAGTGATGTACGCGGATTTGTTTTAAAACAATCGCTAATGTGGATTCTGGATTTTTCAGTCTGATGAATCTGATCTAGTTAGTAGGAGAGGCGACTGCAGATTTCTATCGTCATCTGATAACGACATGAATCATGTCCCGAAGGAATGTGAAAACATTGTAGTTCATCGAACGGCACCTGTGACAATCCCTATCCTGAGCAAAATGATTAAAAAATAGCACTTACCTGTGCGGACATTTGCACTACATTTCGCGATTTGATATCGAGATAACGCAATTCAAACTGATCTAAGTTAGTGACAGAGCGTCAATATTTCCGTGACTTTTTCGCCCTCGTCAAAAGATAATACCTGATAGTGTATGGTAATCCACATGTTGGCATCATCCCCTTTTATCGACTAGCTGATATATATAGAAGAAGCCGTTTAAAGTGAGACACGCCATAAAATAAGGGAAAATATTCATGATTTCATTTCATAAAATTGTATACCTACTTTGTGATACTTCATGCTTCATAAATAGGGTATTTCAGTATTTTAGTAACAATGATTACTTGATTGAATAATATTGAATAGTCTGTTCTCAATACCAAATCCTAAGATTCTGCATATTATCATAAAAAGGAATTTGGCAGTTATTTTCTCATTACAGAAGACCATCTATCCATCGGAAACCTGAAACCAGTTCTGCCTAAAAATAGAAATACAACTTTCGCTACCAACCCAGTACAAAAAGATATTCATCACACATCGAACATTCATCACAACCCAAAAGTCCAACGGCAGTTGACGGGTATGAATGGGGTCATCAAACAAGGTCTCATTCACATGGCGATACCAAATGGGTGGTCATGGGGTGGCCCAGTGTCGCCCTATTGTCCTATTTACATGGAATTATATACAAATTTTGTGTTGGATACCTCTTTGTGATATTTGATTTTAGTCTGTATGGTTCTAGTTGTTTCTGATTTACTTTTGCACTTCACTCTTTGATTCAGTGATGGCATCCTGTAGATTTTCGCGGGGTTTGATTTTGGCTCATTCTAGTAGAAAATATATACATGGAAAAGGGGTAAAATAGCATGGTACAAAAAATGGTTAGTACATATATTTCAATGAAACTGCAGGACAGTTTAAGTAGGTAACTAATATTTGACAAATAATTGTGTTATGCATAATTTGAGCAGTTGAGGTATATTCATAAAAATAATAATTCTAGAATCCAACCTATTATAAAAAAGGTACTGAATTTAAATTTTATTTTTATTTCCGTCATTCGTAGGTACAATTTGGTTTGGACTGAATTGTTTTAAAATTTTAATTCTTGTGATATTGAAGTTTACAGATCACTGAATCTTCTTTGGCTGTGTCACTCTTAGGAATGTTGAGCTCTCATGGTACAAGAATGATTTAATATCAAAATCAAAGCTCTTTCAAATGCAATTTGTGTGTTGAAATTATTTATATTGTGTGCTTGAATTACATGTACAAAAATAATTTTTATAACATCACCTGTGGTGGCTTTAGGATTTCTCTAATTGGTTGGTTGACTTACAATAATTCTTACATTATCCAATCACTGTTTTTCTAGTCGAATGTATCTATATATTTTAGAATCAGTCAATATTATTTTTATAGGATTTGCAAATATTGAATAGATTATTGTTGAAAGCTGCTTTTCAAAAATAATTAAAAATTATTCAAAACATGCATTTTTCCAATATTCCTAAATTCCAATTATCAATAATATTCGTTAAGGGTAAGAAATAAGCGTCGAAAAAATATCTTGCAATCCTTGCAATATAACTTGATACAGGTGAAGTCTATTGAAAACTAAGAACCCCTTATTTTCAGTTAAAAAGTGAAAATATTGAAAAATTTCATGTACATAATATATCATGATGACCTCTTATGTGGAAAACTCAACTGGAATTCATGATTTCTCTGTGGACACAGGCTGATAATAGTGATAATAGGACTGCTCTCTTATATAATAGAAGTATAGTAGTAGTGATCACAACTATACATTGAAAGGCAGAATGTAGGAATACACAGTGTGTTCCACTTTTTTTCAAAAACTGCAGCATGTAGATATTAGACCAAGCATAGCAAACAGGTTATTTATTTAATATCAACTCTAGTTACGCTCAAGATACAATAATATATAAAGGCACCAGCATGTCAGACAATTATTTACTGTACCTATGGAACTTTTTTAATGTTTTTGAATCTGTTCAGTGAGATTATATGGATAATACCACTGGCAAAAAAAGATAAAAATGGTAGAATTACTGAAAAAGAAAAAACTTTGAAATTACTTTAACGTCCGCGTTCAACTAATCTTTACGCCCGATGATTCGGGCAATAAATAGTGCAAAGTTCATCGCCCGATTTTGCATAATAATTATTTACGTCCCATCAAAATCTTCAATTAATAGGTAAAGGTGACCATTTTCCTTTTTTTGCTTGCCTTCATTGGCATGGCAGGGTAAGTAGTGTAACTGATATAATGCCTTTCCCAAATTCTTTACTGTGTCAAAATAAGTGTCCTAAATTATAATAACAATTATTTGAACAAGTTCAAAGTAAAATTGGTGCAATATACAGGGTGAGTCAAAAATGTGTACCTGGAGGTGATAGTACATTGAAAAATAATTAGTTTGATGAATAAACTAATGGCCCAAAATTGTATACTAAGGGGGAGATCTTATATCCTTCCAAAGTTGATAAAATTGAAATGATTTTCCCTCATAACTTCTGAACGGTAAAAGCCACCAAATTGAAATTTCCTGCATAAATGTATGTTGATCAAATACATTTTTTAGAGGGTGGGCCTTGATTTTTTGAAGACTTTGAACTTTTCCATTCAAAAGTTCACTGATAACTCAAAAATGACTGAAGCTAGTCTAGATTTCTTAATGGACTGTCTATTTCTCATAGTTACCGAGAACCCATCAATGGTCGTGAGGTACGAATTTGGGACACACTGTATCTCCCTTAAATCATATTTTGGGTCGTTGCTATTAGTTTATTTATATAACTATACTTATTTTTCAATTTATCATCACCTCCTGGGGGTGAGAAAGCCCCATACACATTTTTGACTCAGCCTGTATGATGGGTGGACATTGTTCAACCTAGTACACTTAATGAGCACAGGTCAAATGCACTGGCACTGTTTACTATTTGTATGAAAATCTAGAAGAAATTAGAGTCACTGGATGGTATTAATTAGGCAAATTTGTTTTTTAATTACCTTGGTTGTTTGTCCTAATTTAATTATTAGATATTTTAAATTATTGGCTATTTATAAATGTAAATTTTATTTCAATAAATGTTATTTTGTTATCTCTACTGTTTTGGATATTAAAAATAGCACTGCTTTTTTTTATAAGCTCATCCTCCAAAACCTCAGACACTAGATTTTTCTCCATATTTAGCAGACAATGCCTCAGATTAATATGAATTTTATAACAAAAATAGTTCCAAACAATTTATTACTATAAAAGGTATACATATTATTTCTAGTAAAATTAGTAATTGTCATTTCGATATCTTTTATCTCTGTGATTATTTTCTTGATAATTTCTATTCCTGTTCTTATAATTATTATCATAATGACTGCCACCTGCTCGATCTCTATCCCTATTATTGAACCTGCATTTTCCATACCAGGGAGACATTATTGGTGGTGGAGGAATACCAGCATCCAAGATTTTCTTAAATTCCACATCAGATTCTGTAAAACGTTCTGAAAATTCTAGGGTGCATTCTTCTAAGAACTCCTTCTGTTCTCTTGTTAATGCTTCTGTCTCCATAATGAATACAATTAATTTATCAACTCGTAGGATTTTGTAGGTTAAAGTATTATTTGTTGGGCTCTTCTTTTCTTTTCCAAATCACAAACTACCGAAGTAAACAAAGGTACATTGATTTTAATGTTTCTTACAATATTGCATTATTGACACAATACACGTAATCATGTGGATATAGTGGATGAATATCACACTCAATGACTAAAATCAGGATTCAAGGTGGATTCAAGAATTTCAAGATATAAAAGAGAATGAATGATTTCAAAAGTGAAATCCTTAGATCAAAACAAAGCCAATCTTTTCGATGTTGATTAATTCTCCTATAAATGGACGAACTTCAAAATCTTGTTGAAATATCAATATGGGAAAAGCTTAGGAAAGGTAGATTTGTGCAAGGTGTTTGAGTATTCCTTATCATTATACTTTCAGGTGAAGCAGATTCTCCCTTGTCGATTCTTGTCAGAGATAATGAATCACTGATGAAAGAAACTGGTTTATCATGCAAAGAACTTGAAGAAGTGAAAGCCACCCTTTCAAATATTGTTTTCAGATCACAATTCCTTTCTGCTGATATAGTTGAACCATGGGACCGAGTGAGCACAGGATGTCAAAATATAGATTCCCTAATGAGAGGAGGCATTCCTATCAATGGTATAACAGAAATATTTGGATGTAGTGGGGTTGGCAAAACACAGTTTTGTTTGCAACTATCTCTGCAAATACAATTGCCATATGATTTGAATGGGAAAGAAAAAGGTAATGTAAGTACCTATACAAGGTGTCCCAGAACAATGTACCATAAATTCTACTGGGTGATAACTAGATACCAAAATAGGCCAATAGGCTATCATTTCATTGAACAATATTATTTCACTATTTCAAAGTACTAACGCTAACTAGTTCACTGTAGCAAACTGTACCAAATGGTTTTTTCCTCAGAACTCTGTAACTTTTTTAAATGATTATGAGATTTGACTTATGTATCAAAATTCTCTATTTCTGATAGAGGAGTGCAAGAATATTTCTGATTGTCATTTCAATCAGAATATGCAATGAATTTACTGGATTGAATACTGCTGATAACAACAGAGGATCAACACACAACACACACAGAACTGAAGAATCAGATAATATGAGGATTATCTTTGAATATTCCAATCTTGACTAGATGAAACAAGCATATGATTATGAAGGTGACAACCGATATTAAGGTTAGGAAGTTTAGTTTGTCTTCTTCTTCTTTTTTGTATTTCTGGGAACTATAATATATTTTTTCAGTTCAATAATGATGGAAGTAAGATATGGTGTAATTACTGATGCGCTTTTTTCAGAAATTTTACTCGACCTCTCGAGAGCATCGAGAGCAATGGTTCCGTTGATCTTCTAATAGATGGCGACATTGCACAATTATGACTTCTGTCAGTTTTGAAATTGTCGCAGATTTTTCGAATTCAGAGTTGTTTAATCCCACTGTTACATATGTTCCGCGTACCTAAATTGGCATTTGCCATTTTATTTCCACTCGTCACAGCAGCAATAGCAGCATCACCATCTAGCGGGAAAATGTAGAATCAACGTCTCGCTCGTTGTGACGTAGAGAAATCATAGTAGGCCGGTATAGTGATTTTTCTGAAATTTTCAATACGTAAAAATGGCCGAATACGCACACCATATCTTACTTCCATCATTAGTTCAATATTCATCAAGACACTGTTATTATTTTATTTTCTATGTCTTTTTAGTTTCTCCATCTATAAAAGCGTGTTTCTTTAGTTTTTCAAACTACCATTTATTTCAACTTCTTTTTAGTTCACTTGAATTTCCCAATTTTGATGAAAGAATCATATCCGACTCCTAAGCCCCCCAGATGAAAATTTTGAATAGAATCGGACATAATTACAAAACTCGTCCGCAATATCATTGGATCTACCATCTTGAATTTCCTAATTTTGACGAAGGAATCATAATTTTTGGTCCCGAAAACGCCCACTTACAAATTTTGAATAGAATCGGTATATAATTACAAAACTCGTCCGGTATATTGGTTCCACCGTCTTGAAATTCCAAATCCCGCCCTTTCCAAATGTTGACAAAAGAATCATAATCTCCGACCCCGAAAACACCCAGATAACAATTTTGAAGAGAGTCGGATCATAATTACAATACTCGTCCGCCATATTGGGTCCGCCATCTTGAATTTCTTAATATTGACGAAAGAATCATCTCCGACCCCGAGAACCACCAGATACCAAGTTTGAATAAAATCGGATCCTAATTACAAAATTCGCCATCTTGAATTTCTTAATTTTGATGAAGGAATCATAATCCCCGATCACGAAAACTCCTAGGTAGGAATTTTGAAAAGAATCGGATTATAATAATTACAAAACTCGTCCGATATATTTCCTCTTTATAATATTAGTATATAAATAAGGTTTTTGGTCTTCTTCAGATATTGTTTTCTGGAAAAAAGTTTTTTGGGTGAAAAAAAGAATGAAATTTGGAATCGACCAGATCCCAGATCATATGATGATGAGGTTGAGAAATGGTGAACATGGATATTGTGGTCAATAAATCAACACAAATGAGGTAGAAATTTGCAAAATATGATTGGTAATGAAGAAGTATGGAGAAGCACCAAAATGAATTTTGTTAGATATCTCGAAAACTAAGAAGAAATATAATGAAACTGCAGTAAGGAAAAAGTTAGATAATTTATTTTGTAGTTCACCAAGTTACATCAATATTCATCGAACAGAATGTAAAATATCTATCTCCCTGTATATTGATTGCATTGGTATGACATGCTTTCCATACACTTCCATTATAGTAAATAGCCCTACGGATTTTAGAGCAGTACCTGTCAAGGATTTTAAAATATTCAGGAAAATCTGTAAATCAAATTATTCTTCATCATAATATAGAGGTAGGTTTATTTCAATCAGTCTATTTTGGTGTGTAGTTCACCCTGTAGAATTTTTGGTACGTTGTTCTGGGACACCTGATATGGTTAGACATATATTAATATATTTGTTAAATTTGGTCTAATATTTCTTTATTCAAGATCTCTCCCATCTAATTTACAGGTGTGGTCTATATTTGTACAGAAGATCCCTTTCCCTCTAAACGCCTCCATCAACTGTCTGAATCATTCAAAGAGCACTATAAATTGCCACAAATTGATTTTGAATCAAATATTTTTGTTGATCATTCAGCAGATCTTGAACAGTTGAAATGCTGCCTTTCTGTAAGGTTGCCAAATTTGATACGTTTAAAGAATATTGGCCTCATTGTCTTGGATTCTATAGCAGGCCCATTCAGAAGTGAAAATAGCAAAACAAACTATACAAGCAGAGGGCGGGAGTTGTGTGATATCTCTTCAAGTCTGAACCAGCTGTGTGAAGAGTTTAAAATTGCTGTTGTTTGTGTCAACCAGGTAAAAAATAAGACCACTTAAGTCTCATTTGGCTTTTATTAATCTCTTCTCATGCTATCTTAGTTCAAATAAGAGGAAATTCATAGGTATTGAAGTTAGAGATATATAATATGTCATCCAGAAAAACCTCATGAAACTATTGAGAAAATCTATCTGGAAAATTATAATCAATTTTATCAAAAGTAATACACCTGCAGCTGTATTGTATTGAATACAAAAATTCATCAATAAAATCAATATAGCAAAAACCTTAGCAAGAGTACTAAGTTCAAATTAAAAGAGCTAAAAAAAGGAACCCAACAAAATAGCTTCATCTTCATAAGGATAATAATTGAATTTGATTGATTGGAGATCCTGTATGGAAGTAGTAGTAGTATGTGGGGAGGCTGTAGCCAAGCAAGTAGGCCCCGATGGGCTCTTTTTGCTATTGTATGGAAGTTACTTGGATCATTGACAGAATAATAATAGATGTTCCATTTTGTTCCCTCACTTGATTCAAGGTCAAAAACTGATTGGTTTTTCTCTTATCTCAACCAATTTTCTGTGAGAAAATTAAGGTAAAAATTGGTTTCGATTTTTTGAGGTTATTTTAATCATATTTTCCCTATTGTTTTCAAGTGTTATGTATTCTCTCTCATTTACTTTGAATGGAGGGGATACCCCACTTGTATCCGCACCTGAATTATTTGTTTTTGTTTCTCTTGGAGCGCACGAAAGGAAATACCTATAATGTTCGTGGAACATCGTGCGTACCTAAGGCGGATAGGGAGGGTAGGGAGGTGTTAAACTTTTGGGAATACTTCCATTGGCAAAGAAAAGTAATAGGTTGCCGACTTTTCTACGGTGTTCTAATGGGGTCAAAGAGTTGGTGAGTGTGGCGTTAACCACCAGGCGAATGGCTCTTCTCTGGCTGGAATCTAAGAGCATCAACATATGTTTGGGTGCTGAACCCCATTCATGAGAAAAGTATTCTAAGAAACTGGCCGTATCTGTGCTTTGTAGATCATGAGAAGATGTTGAGGTGTAAAGTAGATTTTCGCACGGGAGAAGAATCCAAGTTTTTGAGAAGCAGCTTTTGCGATCGGTTGGACATGATTTTCCCATGAGTATTGCAGATGGTAATACCGAGCATAGATATAATGGTCCTGGTGGGAATGGTGGTACCAGACATTGTTATATCAGGCATACTGAGTTCCCCCTTTCTAGAGAAAATACAGGCTTGAGTTTTGGTGGCGTTGAATTCAACTAGGTTGTTTCATCCCCAGGCTGTAAGTTCTTGGTTTCCTGGGAAGAAATGGGGATTCGTTAGATCGTTGATATGGAGTAGGAACAATGTTGGTGTCAAAATTGATCTTTGTGGAACGCCGGAATTTATGGCAATGGTATTAGACGATACTCCGTCCCCCACCACATGAAGCAATCTGTCTGAGAGAAAACTCGATAAAAGATGGCATAGCTGATGTGGTAAGCCGTATGAGTAGTTTGTGGAGCAGTGTTTGGTGCCAAACACGGTCGGATGCCTTCGATATATCTAACGCTACAGCTAGAGATTCCCCATGTTTTTCTAATAAAGCTTGCCATATATGGGTGGGAGGCAAGTAAATCTCCAGTTGATTTTCGCTGGCGAAAGCCATATTGTCTATCATTAATGATTCCTGAGCTGACAGGCAATATTGGCCTATAGTTGTTGGGCAGGCTCTTGTTTTCTTTTTTGGGAATTGGTTGGACTCCAGCTATTTTCCAGCAAGATGGAAAAATACCCGACTTCTAGGAGATGCTAAATAGCTAGCAGAGAATCGGTGTCAATTCTGGTGCACACCTTTTGAGAATAATGGGTGGAATCAGGACCATTGGACTTATTCGTTTTGAGACCGAGCAGAATCCGTCTGATATAGTGCGTTGACGAAAGACAATTTCGGGCATACGAATTTCAACGGGTGGAATGTCTGGCGGTTCTCTTCCCTGGGAATGCAAGGTGGAGTTTGCTGCGAATATTTCTGCAAAAATGTTCGCTTTCTCTTGCGATGTTGTTGCTAATGTGCCGTCGGCTTTTGAAAGTGGTGGGAATGAACTATTAGTGAAATTCCTTCCGAGGGACCAAAACGAACGGGATCCATTGGGACAATCTATGAGTTTTGAACTTATTTTGGCATTGTTTTTCCTTGCTTCAAAATATGCTGCTCTAGTCACGAGGTTAGGGTCCTATAGTAAGAACTATCATTTTTTCTTCAAAGAAAGATCTCAGCTATATCAAGTTGGATATTTCAAAATATATTTATGTATCTACTGCATTCTTTATTCTGTCAATTTTAAATTTCGGATTTTTTTGGGATGCATTTTTCCAAATTATCTATCTCTTTGTAACTCATAATATGTTTATAAATGTTCATAATACTGTGATTAATGAATCAATCATTGACCAAGTCCCTACAGATCATAAATATCTACTTCATACTGGTCTATATTTCGTTTTGAATATGATTTCTTCATTGTGAATTTATTTTCGGTTTTGGCGCCCCTACGGTCTCGTGCCTGTGGCCAGGGTCTCCGTTCCCCCGCCCTAGTTACGGCCCTGTTTGGAATAATAAGGACAAAAAAAATTATTTGTCCTTAAAAGTTCAATATGAACTGAACAGTATAAGATGTTTTCGTAGACATTGATCAAAGCTTTGATATAAGTCATAATTTCAAAATTCAATCTTTTGCTGATTTGTAAATTCTATATTCTTTTCTAACTTCATCTAGTTTTTAGTACTTTCAATTACTGGACCATTTCCAATTATGAAGAAATTGTATGGTAATACTTTTCACAGGTAACTGAAGATGTGGTTAATGATAAAACAGAACCTTGTTTAGGTTTGGCTTGGAGCAATAATGTCACTTATAGGTGTCAAATATCAAGATTCAATGACACCCCAACAAGAGAGTTCGAAATAATTTTTGCTCCTGATTTACCATGCAGTAAGTGTTATTTTGGTATAAGAAAAGACGGACTCGTTTCTATTGATGATGTGAGATGAGGATGTATTTTTGTATTCCCGTGACTATAGGCACGTTGATGTGCACGCGAAATATTTCATCCCTGCACGTACATCATGTCACCCACAACACGCGATATCCGCTAGATGCAATGGGGGACTTCGCGCCAAGTTGCCAACCTAGAAACCTCTACCTCTGTAGAAACAATATTATGAAAGTTTGATTACTCAAATAGCTTCATTTTGGTGTAATTTCATTGAAGGAGTCTACTCAGCTTTTTACTGAAATTTATTCAGAAGAAAAATTAATTTTTGTGAACTTGTTGTCGCATTTGCGGTACGTCAATATTGAAATGTCAATACTTTCAATAGCGTCACGAGTAGAAAATGGTATATCAACGAATTACTAATCAGTAAAGTTCGAATCACGTTCGAACTTCGAATAGTGATCAAGAAAATCTAATGAGAAACGTGCAAACCAATAATAAACTGAATGTGAGGGTTCCAAAGTTATCTGGTGGGGCTACTCTTGACTCGTCGTAGTGGTAATTAACATAACATTGTTATTGGGTCTTTATATTTATTGTTATTCATCTATATTTTCTCACTACCCATAATTAATAGGTATCTCATGCTATAATAAATATTGTGATGTTCGAATAGTCTTGGGATGCAGCAGTCTAATTATTTGAATAAAGGTATGTTATTTTGATATTGTTGTTTTCCCACATTTGTGATAATATGTATCTCTATTATTGGAACCTTTGACGACCAGTCGTGTACTTATTAAACGATTTCTTTTCCTTATTATTTTTTTACTAGGAAAATGCATATTATCACATAGGTATGTCAGTGTTTTATTTATGATATCGACTGGGATTTCTTCGTTTCCAAACAGTTATGGTTTCATTCTCGGTTCCATCCACTTAAAGACACTTCCTTGGGTTGTTTTTCATTTCAGGAAAAGGTTGAAACTCAATTATTTTAGTCTTACAGTCATGTCAGGATCGATTTTTAGCACTCAAATGAAATATAGTCCTACTTCCTACTGCCTATTGACGACGATATGACATATTTCAGAATGAAAGAAGGTGCATCAACATAATTTTCAACCAATCAGAACTGGGGTTCACAAAAATTAATTTTTCTTCTAAATAACGCCCATTATAGTGATCCGAGTAGACTCCTTCAATCAGATTTCATCATAATAAAGTCATTTGAGTATTCAAACAACTTTTTTTTTTTGAATTTTCAATTTGTTTTGTCAAGTAATTTTCCGAAAAATATAACTTTCAGGAAAAAAAAATCTTTTGGCCAGACTGAGGTTAGAATGTTTAGGGAAAATAGTCCTCTTTTTCATCGTTATGCAGAAAGGATATTTTCCTTCCTCATATTCGATATGTATGTGCATACGTCAAAAGAGAAAGAATGTCCCCTTGTCTATCATCGACTGAAATTACACCCAGAATTTTGTTTCATATCAAGAAATATATCATACTGAATTGATTGAATAGACCTGATTCATCATTCGCTGTGAAGTGACGTCATGCACGTGTCTGCAAGAAATAAATTACACGTACATCAACGTGTCTCTAGCCGCAGCATTTTGTATTGTATTAAATTTAATCTGGTAAATATAATAAGTTTATTTTCGTAAAGTGTTTTCTTAGTGAAGTATTGAAACTAGTTTTCATTGCTTGCAGAGATATATTTGTTTTCAGAGTGTATAAATAAATCAACATAGAAAAAGCTTTATATCATTTTTCAAAACTCAACATATTTAAAACAAAGGTACTTAGCCTTCTTTCTATCACATAATATTGATAATTACTAAATATTAAGACATAGAATGGACTGGCCACATATATTTTTTCGAAATTTGAGTTGTAACATGAAATTATTATTAACGTGTGTCATAACTCGAGTTCTGACCCAAATTTAGTACTAATTTCATGTTAACATTTCAAATTGAGAAGAAATATCGAATGCCACTTCTACGCCTCCTCAAATAACAGTCCTTTATGGTGGTACTTAGTCCAGAAATAAGTATGAAATAGCTTCAACAGTCTTTATCCTTACGTCCTCATTTTCATCAGTTAAAAGTCTTATCAATCTATCACAAACCGTATCGATGGATACCTTAGATTTATTCTCCAGTATCAAAAGAGAAAATAGCAGTCCAGCAATCAGGGCAGCATTCCCTTTTATTTCAGGCCATTGGCTCTTGAAATGCGACAGGCAAGTCATGAGAAGAAGTGGAAATAAGTCTTGAAGTTCGTCCGCCTATTAAAATATAAAATAGGACAAAACTTATGACCAAGGGTGTGTTCCATTTGAATTGCTCAATGCTCAAGGAACGTCTATAATTCACCTTTCAGGTAAACTGAAAAACTATGAATAATTTCGAAAATTTTCGAAGGCTGACCCTCTGAATGAGCAACCGGATCCGAATCTCTGTAAAATGCACAAAAATGCAGCGAGAGACGAAGGAATCCAATTTTGAAATTGTGTCATTTCTCATTGGAATTACTTCTACAATAGTAGCTTATAGAACTACTCGTGAAGTTTCTATAAGAAGGCAAGAAGATTGGATTCATGCAATCAAACGGGAGGGTCGCTGGTCTGACATGCTAGCATTGCTGACGAGATATGATTCACTCTATTAGCAGTATTAGCTCCTATTGCAGAAGTGGCAGAAGGAATTCTAATGAGAAATGGCAAAATTTCATAACTATGTGAGATCATCATCATCATCATCACTATTTACCTGAAAAATCATATTCCTTCGTCTCTCGCTGCATTTTTTGTGCATTGTACAACAGCACAATGTGATGCAATGTGATGCTTGAATCAATAAATAGCCTTAAAAACACGATTCGTATGCCAAAATATTATGAAAGTGAGGATGTTTCAATGTTTTACAATTTCATGATGAAAACTAGGTATGTGAGATCACTATTTTTATCTTTAAAATAATATTCTTTCGTCTCTCGCTTAATTTTTTTGTGCATTGTACAACAGCACAATGTGATGGCATGCTTGAATTAATGAATAGCCCAAAAAACACGAGGTCGCGTGCACGATGACCCTGGAGATAAAACATTGAAACTCAACCTCACTTTTCTAAAAACATTGAAACACAACCTCACATTTATAACTTGTTTACAAAGGAATCAAAGTAAAGGATTGAAATGCACAAATGCACAAAAAATGCAACAAGAGATAATGAATGGTTAAAATTCTTCAATACAAATAGAAATTCAGTGCTAATGACGATTTTGTCTGAAGTTTAGTTTTGAGTGCTATTTATCCCTAAATAAAATTTTATGACATCCATGTCCATGACCGCTTGCTGCAAGTCAAAGTTATTGTGATTTATATTTTGATCAAATTACCAATGAGGAAGCGAAATAAAAAATCTAAAACCCAGCATATTTAGGTATCTGGCAGCCAATCTACAGCCGAAACATAAAAACGAAAACATGATGTATCAACAAAGATATTTCAACCAATCAAAAACGTATATTTTGAAACCGTTGTAAGCCTCTAGTGGTTTAGTGGAACACCCCTTATATTTTAACTTACCATAATTTTGATGAAATCTCTAATGAAATCAGTGAAATGGAGATTAGCCTCGTCAATAAGGTGTTCTTGTATCATAGAATTCACATTCGGACTATCCAGATACGGCCCGATCTTCCTCAAAGTGTACTTGCACGCCTGAAAATAATCATTGTTCTAATGTTCAGGGTATTTTCGGATTCTGTTGTTTACCTTGACGACATAAATATCAGGGTCGCAAAGATGCAACATCAAATTGATGAGATTACCATGGATTTGCTCTCTGAATGCTTCCAAATTGGCCTCTGAGTTCAGAGAATGCGTCAAATCACCTAGTAATCGAAAAGAGGCTCTTCTTAGATTGACATCTTCTTGATCTAACAACGGTTTTATCCTGACTGCAGCAGTAACTTGGAATGAGCTGAACTTGCAACCCTCCATTGTACTCAATAATTTTGATAAACTCAGCATTCCTTCCAAAATCACAGCACTTTCATTACTGAAAGAAAAGAAAATACTTCGATTATTTAGACAGGGTGTCCCGTGACTCGATGCCCATAGCTTAAGGGCATATTCCTTGAACAAGTTAAGTCAAAAGACTCCAATTCACTTTTGTCCAAAACTCTATAGTTGTTGAATTGTTTGAATAATTCTTGTCACCGATTGCAGCAAAATTCGAAAATGATAGTAGACATGTAATACAATTGACAGGCCGTACAGGACTCAACACGACGGTGTGTTTAAAACACTGTGTTGCCATGGTAATGTGTTCAAGAAATAGTGTTGCCACGGTAACGTGTTCAATGTTTTGAATAAATCACAAATCGTCAATCCGTGATTAATCGATCATTAAGCGTAGTATATATCCGTATGCTAAATGCTATTTTAGTTATTTGAGTAGAAAGAATATTGTTACCACGGGATCTTATACCCCTCGGCTGAAGCCTCGGGATTTAATCTTGGTCCCTGAGTAATAATGATATTCTTTACTAACTTGTATATTTTTACACATGAATATTATCAATCTCACACCTCACCCAATATTGTGGTAATCCAAACTATTCATCAACGCGCTCAGTATCGGATTGCAGTGCCTCGATATCAGGTCGTAGCTCAGATGCTCGGCCGCGTAGCCCAAACCTTGCAGCGCCAACTTCCTGACTGTGCGACTAGCGTCTCCCTGCACGTCGAGCACCATCTCGAGCAGGTTCTCCGACAGGACGGTCTGCTCGTTGTCGCCCTGCCGCAGTAGAGTGACTTTATAAATAGAGTGAGGACAATAGTAGTACATTGTTTGGTTGGTCAGACCTTTAATATGGAGGTGCATCCACCTGTCTAGTTTTCTCTAGAGTTCGTAAATGTACTTGACACTGCTGTTTTGACGTTTTTGTATATTAGAGTACGGACACTAGACAAGCAGTGACAATCAAACATAACCACAAACGATTTTGAAGCAAATCATATGTTTTGCCAGACAAGGACAAGAATTTTTTCGCTTAGATAAAGGATCCTCGCATCTTCCTTCTTCCACAAGTCCTGGGAAGACTACATCCATATATCTTTCTCTGTCTTGGATTTTTGTATGAGAGTGCATAGCGTCTCCTCGAGTGGGTAAAAGGGTAGGATAAATTGATTAGAAAATTGTTTCTTCTCGAAATATTGAATGATAAGGCTAAAGGACCTCAATGGAGGTCGATATCAAGTTGGTATGTATTCCGGAAACGGTAGCCATTTGGAGGTTCTATTGTCGTCACTCTATTTAATCTACTTACTCTATGTCGCAGCAGGTAGGTGAAGAAGGCCGCCGTCACCGCCCGCTGGGGCTCAAGGTCGGCGCGTATGTAGGGGCCCAGAGAGGCCACGAGCCACGATAGGGACTGCGGGTGTTCGAGGCACACGTTCTCCACGAGAGCTGCGATTACCTGAGACGGGAATACGAAATAAATGAGAAAGTGTTCGTAAGGATTCGTTTTGTTCTTTCTCTCAAAGATGAACATCTCAACTCTAAGCAATGAATATAAGGTAGAAGTCCATAATATCTCAACGAGGAGTGGATAAGATTTCGTCATATCCCAGCAACCCAAAAATTGGGTAAGTTGCTCGTCTGAAAACGCTTCAGCTCAATGCGCAGGAACCCTCAAATTGACGTTCATGATAGCGAGTAATGTTTCTTGGTGTTCGGAAATCTGAGCAAGGGTGAATAAAATATATGACGAGTTCTGAAATTGTGCAAAATTCATCTTCACCGGTTCGATCTCGTGGCTGGTTTTCTTATGGTATTTGCGGGTTAGATAGTAGTGCATGTCAGCAGGCAAGAGGTATTATACAGTCTGGTCAGTGAAAAAAAAAAAAAAAATAAAATCGTCTTTAGTGCCTTAGTGACATCTTCAGTAAGCTATAGTGACCTCTATTCCAAAATAAGTTATTCATTTGTTATCCTAACCCTAGAAATTTTTCATATTCCTGTCAAGTTCCACCTTTCTGTCTAGTTTATATTGAAAAATTTCTTATGTTTAAACATTTCAAGTAAGTATGAACATGTTTCATACTTACACAAATTATGAAAGCAGAATGCACAAAGAAAAAACTGTTGTTTGTTGATTATTATTATAAACTACTATCTAGACCACAAATGTTATAAGAAATAAAAAACTTCTCGAGGTCGAACTGGAGAACATGAATCATGCTCATTCAGAATCATATATCTTATTCACTCTTGATCAAATTTCCGAACACCAAAAGATATGACTCGATGTCAATAACGCAGTTTGGAGTTCCTGCGCATTAAGCAGAAGGCTTTTCAGGCGAGCAATATCGATGAGATTTTCGGGTTGCTGAGATATGATTGCAATTATGTCAAAAAGTTCTACGGGAAAAATGAGGGATACATAATGTAGACCGTTTTATCGATATTTTTATATTTATATTGTTCAATGTTTTATTACTGTTATTTACAACCACATATGTAATGTTGTCATTACTAACGTCATTGAAGGTTGGGAAGTGTCACATTACACACCTCTACTTCCCGCCCTCACTTATGTAATATTTTAGGTATGTTCAGGACGAAACAGAGATTTATTAATTTTGATTGAAATATGATGGTTGTATTCATTATTCCAGATTATTTGGGATTTTCTCTCCTCGTCTCTATAAAATAAAAATATCAATATTATTTCAATATACGTGTAGTAAGGACAAATCAGATGATTTGCCACAAAATGTCACTGCGTTTAATTTGAAAAATAGTTCACTGATTCTCACATAGATTTTCACCTTCTTTGTGTAGTATTTTCGAAGTCAGTTGGAGAGCTTTAAGCAAGGAATTTCCGCCAACGTGCACAGTCTCTTTAAAATTGAAAGGGTTTTGCAGGAGCTACTCCAATTAAATAACTTTGCAAAGACTATAACAGTTCTCACCTCAAGAAACAGATGTATATCTTGGAATGTATCTGTGTTAGTGATAAACAGCACACTGGTCGCCATTTTATTAAATTCGCAGCACATCAAAAACAATCTGAATGTATCCACTGTCACCTTCGTAGGGGAGAGTTTGTAAGCATCCCTATTGAAGAACATGCCTTGTTTGTCCTTCTTGTCCCCTATTTTGACGGCTGGTGATACCGTACCGATGTAAGAAGCGACACAAACTAGGAGAATGGAAAACAGCTCTGGGAATTGCTGCATACAAATGTCTTTGAGATGAATATTCTTTAGAATCTCGTGCAGAGCGCATATCGCTTGGAGGGGTTGGCAATTCGCTACCTTTATTGCTTCCCCTTGTTCTTCATAAATAGGGGTCGTCTTTATACATTTCTTCAACTGATCGAGCAGATCTTGTACCAGAGTTGGATCAGTTGAGATAAATGCCCAACACTCACAGATTATACTAGAAAAATAATAATTTTTGCGTCACAGTTATACAGAATGAAGGTATTTGACGAGTTACTTTCAAGGAACCAAATATATTTTAATGATGAATATTCGCCAGTACAACGGACATATTGCAACCTAAAGTAGACAACTCTGAATTCAAAATCACCTATACACATCCTGAAAGCCTATTTTTTGAAGATAAGAAGAAAGCGTTTTACAATTTCTTTTGAAAATATGTCAGTTTTTCTCTTGATGATTTGAATAAAATCATCTTTGATCATCTTTGAAACACTTATAACTCATAACTCAATTAGCTGCATCAGATGACTATGGATTCAACGAATATCTAGAAAACTAAAAATATTCAAAATTTCAAAACAAAACGCAAAATGGAATATTTCTTGTTCTAGTTAGGAATCTTGAGACGGTCATAGTAAAGAAACACTATGGAAACAAATATAATAACCATCAATACATAATTCACCTTACCTATCATAAGGTAGTGGCTGTGAAAGTAGAATCCCACAGACAGTTTTGGAATGATGCATAGCAAGATTAAGAACACATCGGAAAGTGGACGATTTTGTCCTTGGACACTGAATCGTGTACAGTTGTTTCAGAAGCTTTTCCAACACAGTACTCACGTGACTCTGTAACTCGCTACCTAAAATATTTTAATATGTATTGCGAGTCCAAATGAACTTTATGAAAAGCATAAAGAGTATGCTTTCATTCTTGATATTATTTGAAATGTTTTTTGATTATCTATAACTGTCTTGAAATCACACTCATTCAAAAGATAAAAAATGTTCTACCCATTGTTTTAACTGACTCCGCGACTCTCTCTCCCACACAGGCCAGTAACCTATGTGAAGAAGGTACAATATGAAATATATATATAATTAATATCCAATGACAAAATATGTAGATTTTACTTGATTCAGTAAATGAATAAATAAATGAATTACTGAGTCGTGACCAGTAACACAAACTACTATCTAGACTGCTCGCTGTTACCGAAAACCTCGGGTAAAATGCTCGCCTGAAAACGCTTCTGCTCAATGCACAGGAACTTCCAAACTATATAACAGGTCCTGAATGCGCATGATTCATGTACCTCAGTTCGATCTCTTAAGTGGAATAGCTAGCTTCTTTCTTATGGCATTACCAGTCTAGATAGTATAGTTTCAGTAGTTATAAGTGGCCAATTTCGACCGTTTGAATGATATTGTTACTTCATTTGTGATTTGAAGCCTTAGAATCATTATGAAACTAACTAAACTAAAAGTAATAGTGTGAAGATCAAGAATAAAAGGATTCCACTAGCCCATGAACTTGGAACAAAACCTGACCTTTATTTTTGAGAATGACGTTGAGCACCACACTGCTTCCATTGGAACTTGAAGATTCACAATCCAATAAGGCGTCTGACAGACCCTCTATGCAATGCATGAGTTGGAATGACGGCAAGTTTACACAAATTATTTGTGCCAAATCTGACGTGAGATTATACAGCAGTTTCGGATCGTCCGTATCAATCTGTTTATGAATATGTTGCAAGGAGTTGCTAAGCACTTTATCGTGATCCCTCATGTGACCATCATACCTTGATGCTATACAAAGAATCAGGCACAAGCAATCTGTAGCAACCTAGAATTGAATAATTGATAATATGAAAATATAACTGCCAAAACTGTTTTCCATTATGAATATGGCGATATATGAACTCTTCATACTTTTAAATATACATTCACTGTGATAAGTTGATTCATTATACGTAAGTGTAGTTGGAACTTGAAGTATAGGTAATTATTTTTATATTTACATGAAATTTTTGGAATATTTTTATATTTGCGAATGTTTTAATAAAGTATTTGAACAAATTTGAATAATAATTATCACTAGAGTATTTGAATACGTCTTGAGTATATATAAAAAGTTATTTCCTACCTTTGAAATATGTATTCAAATTCTCAAAGTCTCCGAAAATATATTTGAATTCCTTGGAAAAATTGGAAAAATTTGAAATGGCTTAAATATTAAGTACACTGAAAATATTCCACAACACAAACAACCAATGAATTTATATTATATCAGTTCATAAACTGATAAAATAATTCCATTCCAATCAGCAATGGAGAAAAGCCTTACCTTTCTAATTTTTTTATTTGGATCAGTACATCTAGGAACCACCTTAGCCAATAAAAATCCTGTTTGCCCAAAACTAGTCGGACATTCAAAAGCAAACTTCATATTGTCCAAATAAGTCTGCATCACCAGTCTTAAAGTCTCTGCTGCCGGCAATCGTTGCTCGGGCTTCTTCTTTCCCAACCAAGGTTCCAAAAGTGTAACTATCTCATCCAATGTAGCCGGCGATAGATTCTGCAAGAGCAGTTCTTGCACCAAGAGATTGACTTCAGTGAAGCTCCTAGTCACATAAGGTACTAGTTTGAGGTCGCCATAGTAACTATCGGGATTTTCAGAGTTTATCTTGCAGTAAATTGCGGAAGCATTGAAAACATTGTCAAAGAACACTTTCAAGAGTCTTATTCTCTCTTCTGATTCAATAGGTAGTGGGAGCCTTACTAATGATGTTACTGCGGGGATTATCAAAGGAAATAGTTCAATATATTCTGGGCCGTTATGTAAATGAATTTGTGAAGATACCATCCTGAAAAAATGGGTGGAAATAAAGATAGTCGAAGTTGAGTTTGAATCTTACTTCATGACATTATCCCTGTCATTCATTCTAATATGTAGTGAATTTCTGTTTGGGTGCATAGCATCAGCAATGGAATGTATGGTTCTCAAGCAAACCTTTCTCATTTGGAAATCTTTGCAGTTTTTTAATTCGGTCATAGCATAATCCAGAATTTCACTCTCAATGACCCTCAAGAGTTTCTCAGCAGGTGCTTCATTACAAATTTCAGAATAACTATAAAGAATCGTGTAACGCAGCCGTTCTATGCCAAGTTCATGGTTCTGGTTCTTCATGAAAGTGAAATTGAGGAATTTTGAAGTCTTTTTCGTTAGTACTTCCTTCCTTATTGAAACCAGTTTATCAAGTACTATTTGCAAGTGAACCCTGGAACAGATTCCCACAGCCTCGGCACAGGTATGCAAGTCTGAGTAATCCGTCAATTTCACATTGCTCAGGATAACATCCAATGTTTGAACTACAGTCTCTTTGTCTTTCAAATAGCACAGTGCTACAGCTAGACACTTTATTAAGAACTGTTTTTCTGTTTGTTTTGTTTGCAGTTCTCCATTCATTACATGTCTGAAAGAAAATCTTATTATATTAGTATCGACAGGATGATTCATTAGGTATATTTTAACGACCCGGCTTCCCCTCTTGACAACTTTCCTAAGGAAGCTTTCGAAAAAACGGGTTGTAGGAATCCATCAATAAACATTGTCTGCTAAAAGAAAAAATTGTTTCTGTCTCTTGAAGCTCACGAAAGGGAATTCCTATACTGTTGAAAGAACATCGTGCATACCCAGGGAGGAAAGGGTGATGAGGTAGGTAATTTTAGGTATTGATTTTTTTTTATAAGTTCTTTTTATGAGATCTTGGGACCCCTCAGGGGCTCACAACTTGTGAATACGGGAATGGCGAACCCAAGGGTCAATATTCATCTTGTCTTGGATGATATCCTCTTCTCTCTTCAGGTTTCAATCTATCCTATCGGCCTCTCTTGGCCACTTATTCTTTTTTTCCTCCTCCTCTAAAGCCCAGCCTCACCATGGTGCGGGGAAGACAAGCCGTGGCTGCTCGGTAGATTGGGCATTTTGGGAACATCTTTGTTGGCATCACTCAGGTGGGACAGTTTGGTGGACTTTAGTGTGCAAATATGGGTCGATTTGTGAACATATGCTTATGTGGTCGCGGATATATAAACGAGGCTCTGGCAACCTAATCCAAGTTGTGGGAACCCATGACGAAGGAGGTTATATGGTGTCGATAACGGGACCTTAGCCCTGTGCAGGGGGCGCCACAGGGATGGATCAACCTTCTCCCCCACTACTTGTAAGAGAAGGAACATTTTTGGCCTTCTTCATGGACGAGTTCAGGGCTGGGAAGATTAGTCATTAGGAACCTGAACGACAAGGGTCTTTCAAGCGAACCTCTGACAGTGAGGGGGGGGGTGCTGGCAGTTACTGTGATGGTATTGGCATCATATGGGAAGAAGTTTCAATAATTATTCTGAAATTTGAACGTTGGCTACTTTTTTGTAAAACTCACGGTACCGCAAACTAAATTTTCATAACTCACTTCGTCTTTGAGATACAGGGCGAAAATGTTGCATTTTGGGACCCCCTGCATATCAGTATCTTTCAACTCATCGAAAAAGTAAAAACTACATAATTTTTTACGTTGAATCCGGTGTTGTAGTCAGATTTTCGAAATTAGCTATAATTATGCACATATAACCCAAAGTTATGTTTTTCAAATGAATTCATTTATATCTTGAAGCAGCCATTTTTGTTAATTGATGGCGGACAAGATTTGGTCCGATTCCATTCTACAATGCAACATTTTCAATGTAGACCTGTATCTCAAAACTTTCAATTAGGCTGAAGATGTTTTTTTACAAGATCGAAAAATGTCCTTTCTGATTGTGTAACAACACTATTTTGGAGATGACTTCAAGCAGTCCTTCCTTCTTTTGAAATATTTCAATTGATAATATATAATTTTCATCCGCTAAGCAGATGAGTGAAGGTCGACCTTACTTGGGATCTTAGACTAAAAGCTTTGCCGTTCTATAGACGGACGAATTTTGTTAAGTGGAAGTATCTATAGAAAAGTCGCCGACTTTTCTACGATGTACTAATGAGGTCAAAGGATTAGTGAGTGTGACATCACCCACTAGGCGAATGGATCTTCTCTGCATCCCATATATGAGATCAGGATTCTGAAACAGGCCGTATCTGTGCTTTGTACATCATGAAAAGCTGTTGAGGTGTAAAATAGATTTTCGCACAGAATAAAAATCCGAGTTTTTGTGAAGCAGTTTTCTCGATGGATCGGACATGATTTTCCTATGAAAGTGTATTGCTGATGAAAATACCGAACACAGATATAGCGGACTTGGTGGGAATGGTGGTACCAGACATTTTTATATCAAACATACTGCGAGTTCCGCCTTTCTAGAGAAAATACGGGCTTGAGTTTTGGTGGCATTGGATTCAACTAGACTCTAGAGGTTGTTGGTTCCACAGGCTATAACTTCCGCAAGATTTAAAAAAAAATGCGTATTTCAAACAAAACTTGGCTCTCCGAGCATACCTCAAAAATATCCGGAACGTTAAAAATTGTTAGAAGCTATACAGGGTGATCTATATAAGAATGCTAAGAATTATTCAGTGGCTTCTCCCACTGAATGAAGTTTTAATATTGTAACATTGAGGAAAAAATAGACAATAAAATATCTTTTCCTTTTTCATCATCACCTGGTAAGAACACATCACATATATCCCTTCCCCTTTTATGACATTTGGAAAATCTCTCAGGACTGATATGACACCTCAGCATTAGAAAACAGCAGAAATCATATTTCATTCTTGTAGATCACAATGTCTTCACAACACAGTACCACAGCGTGACCTCAGCAAATAAAAGTGAGATGTCAAAGAAAATTTTCAAATGCTAAATCATCACTCAAAGTGCTGTCTAAAAAATGTTAATATGGCAAAATATTGAAAATCAGTCAAATGTTCTAAATTCTAAAACTTTGCAGGCACTTTCTCAAATGGTCTAATATAGCCATCCTTTTTCACACTCTTACATAGATCACTTTGTATATTGAAATGTCAATTTGGAAAAATTATGGAAATGGAAAACTTCATTTCTGAATCAGAATTGGATAATTGAACTAATTCATTCAATTCTATGAATAAAAAACAATCCCATATTATGACCACTACACTTACTGGTAACACCATATTTTTACCACCTTTTACAGGGTGTTCCACAAAACTTGACCCAAATGCTTTGAAAAATGGGTTCACAAATTACATATCAGACTAAGCATTAATTAAAAATCCAATAAATGAAATTTCACTTTCATCCTCAAAAAGAAGATATGGAATTTCAAGGGGTTTCTTTACATAGGTATCAAATTATAACACCATTAAAATTGTATTTACTCTTTCTATGGATACCTTGAATATAAGTTTCATAGGTATAAATAGAAACCTGAGTGACTAAATTGATAGGTTGAAGAAACAAAAAACAAAAACTTTGCCTGTTATAAAAATCTTACCTCATGTTATTATTGTTGTAAATTTCAAGCTGCTCTTTAGCTTTGAAAACAACAACTTCATTGAAGGCACCATCATTGGTAGTTTCCAGAAGAATATTCAAGAAGTCAAAAATCAGATCCTGCCACTCTAGTGTGTTGAAATTTTCATAATTTTGTTCCAAATATTTCAACAGCTGTGGTATCTTCACATCCCAAACTGGTTTATATGAATCCACATGAAAAGGTTTGATGTTTTTCAGAAAATTCAGAATAAAGCAACCTCTAAAATTTGGTAAAGGGTTGGCCAAAAGTGATAGACACCTCACAAATGCAGTTTCACAACTTTGCTGTCTATCTTTTTTAGAGGCCAAGTGTGTCAAGCACCTTAAAATGATAACAAGAGCATCATCATAACCTGGTCCTAGAAAACACTTGAGTAACAAATCCCATAAAGTTTGTTCCAGCTCTGGAACAGAAGTGCTCAGCATATACAGAGTGTTGTCAGCAGATTTCTGGATATTCTGTAGTTCTTGTTGGTCAATGTCATTATTTTTTGGTAAAACTTGTTGACAGCACATTTTCAATATGAATTCCATATATTTTTCAGGCCCATTTGGGTTAGTTTCTATAAAAAAAAACAATTGCACTTGGTATACCAAATAACTTAAAAAAATCAACTTACCCTTATCAAGTAATATATTCTTAATTGAAAAAGCAACAATAATTTTAACAAGAGCTTTCTTGACCCTAACATTATTATCATTCAATGTTTCATTGATTTGCCTGACAATGTCTTTATATCTCCTGTTGATTGATTGATCTCTTGAATATGATATCAAGTGTGTCAATACTATAAGTGATTTTACTCTTTCTTTATCATTATTGTTCCTCAATTGCTGCACTAGCTGATCTATGGTGCTATCAGTGAAATGAAGAGCAAAACACTCATAGCACCTCAGGACTTCTGAGTGACTTTTTAGTAAACCTGGTTGAGCATAATCAGGTGAAATGCATACCAAGTCAAAAATAGTGTTCAGGATATTTGATAGTACTGGTTCTAGTAAGGTGCCATTGACTGTGGCTGCTTTCTGGATAATAGACTCCAAACATTTGGTAATGTTGTAAGGATTAACATTCTTCTTGTAAAGAGTCAATAGTACTTGTATAGCTTTTGTTGTCTGTTGTGTTACTTTATCAACATTTAAAACTCTAAATATTGGTGACAATGCATCCAAAACAGTTTCAACAACTTTTGGTTCACGATTATAGAGCCAGGTAGTAAACAATACATCATAAACCATTCCAATCTCCACACTGTAATTATCCAAGGATATTGTTGGATCTGGTACTTTCTCATTATTAGAAATATATTCAATCAAGGCATCACAAAAATTCCCAAATGCTGAAATGCAAAACAGCTTGTTGCAAATAAATGATATGAATGCATACAAATTGAGATACTTACCATATGCAAAAGACTGTTTCAAAATATCTGATTTCAAACCAGGAAGCAATGGCACCAATATAATAAAGATATCTTTTAAATATGGTACAACCCCATTAGCATTTGCATTAGCTAAAGAACCCAAAGTATGGGGCACCATGTAATGAGGGATGACACCAATACTAAGTTTGTTCAAAAGTGAGTCCATCACCTGAAAAAACATGATATCCTCAGCATTTATTTTCATCATCTCATAGTCATGCTATTATACTTGAACATAATGTTCCCTTCCTAATGCAACTAGGACTTCAGATGCAGGCATTTCAACTAGTGGTTGGGGATTCACATTTTCAGTCATAATACATAAGCAAACATTTATGACTTCTATTATAGTATCTCCATCAATGTCAACAATATAATCTGAACATACTGCTTCCATTATATTCAGTATGGAAGCTACATGTTCAGGTGGTGGTTTTGGAATTCTTGCATTGAATTTGCAACATGAACCCAAGACCTGATTAGGGTGTTTTTCTGATAATTTCTTCAACGAGTTCTTGACTGTTTCCACGACTACTGAGCTTTTATCAGTGACTGATATGAGTAAGGTACCAATAGCCACTGAAAAATAAACACAGGGACAATGGTCATGAAAATATTAATTTCAAGGTATGAACTAATCACCTTGCAACTGGGTTTCTGCACTTTTCTGGTTGTTATTCATATTGATATTACGATGAACTTGAAACTTCTGGCATTTCTTGAGAAAATAAGGTAAACAAATTTTGTTTTGATTGTTTTAAACCTGTCATTCTATAACATAACCTTAAAAAAAAAAGTGGAAAAATAGCTGCGTTTTATTGCAGTCCCCCATGGGTTGCGTATAAGATCTGTCAGATGACCACAGATGACTGACCCTGGACTCTGGAGGTAAAACAATGAAACACAACCTCACTTTCAAGATAAATATATAATAAATCATCAGAAGAACACCAACTCCTACCTTATTTCCCTTGATTCTCACGATATTCTCTGAACATTACAGGATATCCCTTTTCGTGGGAACCAGAACATAAAAAAATAAAATAATATTTGAAATCCCCGTATTCCGAGCCTTTGAATAACTGTTCAATTGCGATTTTCTCGGAATCGGATGAAAATATCGTTTTTTTTTAACAAGAATTATATTACGTAAGAATAATGTTGATGTCATATTTTCTAATCAAAATCACTGTCGTCAAAATTAGTTACCAGTCGTTTAACATCAGGAACCATTCACGTGGCGCTTCCTGTAACAAGCTGTAGAATAATACATACAATAATATTCATTGTATAAAATTATGCCTCGCTGTGTCGATTTTGATAACAATTGATGAATATAACAGTTAAATTATTAACAAAAAACGAGAAATGAAAATTCAACTTCAACGCTCTGTATCTTTTTTCACATCAATATTTCATCAAAGCATATCTGTTCCTATCACCATATTTTGGTCCAAACAATCCACCCTTTTAGCTTCTTCCTGTATAAAGATCTTGGAGCTTATATCGGTATAGGCGGTTAGGCCTGCCCGAAGAAACACCAATGACAATGGGAAACTAGGGAGTAGGATGGTCACGATTGTCACGAACTTGAACCAATGAAAATATGCGAAAGTTGTGCATATTTTACAGGGCAAAATAATCCGTCCTTAGCCTATGTCCCAATAGTTTTGACTCACCCTGTATAAACATCTCAGATGTATCATAGATATGAGTATATGACGTCATGGGATTATGAACTGAAAAATTAGTGAAAATGCTCAGGGACCAGATCCCAGATGAGAAAAAATGAAACAACATTCAACAGTTCAACATATATTTTTAATCTACTTTTGTTAAAATGTCTGCACCATAATCTGTTATAAGTATGGTGTGTTCAAATTGTGCAGTTCTTGCATTATCTACAGTCACAGCAGTCCATTCATCCTCTAAAATCTCAATCATTTCTGAACCTTGAGTTAAAATAGGTTCAATAGTAAATGTCATTCCAGCTTCCATCCTTCCAGGGTAATTATTTCCTTGAAATTAAAATTTAATTAGGCCATATTGCCTGTGGCCTTCTAATTGATAATTTTTATTTGCATTTGATAATTTGAAATGATAAATATAAAACTACCATTAGATGATAATTAAATACCTGTATTGTTGTTGAAATTACAAAAACTTGTTTTAAAAATTATTCATAGGGGAAATTTAATCACACCTATCAATCATTCATAAGAATGATAGGCTATATCAGTTGGAAGTTGAAATAGGTGATATGGATAGGGGCTGATAAAGGACAATTTGCAACTCACCTATATGATATATATCAGGTGGTCCATGAAAATAATGACCAATACCATGTCCAATGAAACAGGGGATAACTTGAAATCCCAAATTATAAGCTTTCTGATTTATGCAAGCCCCTATGTCTCTGAATAACACTCCAGGTTTGCATATTTGTATTGCTTCCTTCAAGCATATTTCTGTTGCTTCAACAAGGTCTCTACCTTCAGTATCAACATTCCCAATTAAAAATGTTTTTGAGCAATCACCATGATATCCATTATAAAAAATCTGGGAAATATCATTGTATAAGTTATTTTTTACAACAATAGTGGTATTCGAGATTCATTGATCATGAATATTCCTGCATATACTTACAAAATTGACTTTTTGCATGTAATCTAGAATGGGAATCAGATAAAATACATCAGAAAAATATTTTTCATTGACTCAGGAATATATGATGATCTGGAATACTTCTAATGTAAATATATATTATTCTGATTGAAATATAATACAATACAATAGCTCTTGCCTACTACCTAACTAGGTTGTCATTTAGAAGAACAATGGGTAATACTATTACCCATTGTTGATCTAAATGGAGAAGCTAGTTTTAGTAGATTGACAATGCTATTACCATACCATGAGTCACAGTCTGTGTCACCTGGTATATGTGGATATGAGTTCAACTTAACTGTTATATCAATGTTGATGATATCTCCATCTTCAAGGGGCCTATCATCAGGTATCCCATGACATGCAACATTATTAACAGATGTACAAACAGACTTTGGGAAGTTTTTGTAGTTTAGTGGTGAAGGATATGCATTATACTTAATACATTGATGGAAAACAAAAACATCAATATCATCTGTGGTTTTCCCAACCTAGGAGAAAAGGAATAGAAAAAATATAAACAGAATTTGCTGGATTCATTTCATTTTTCACTTACATCAAATTACCTCAATGAATTCTCCAACATTTTTCAGAATATTTGCTGCCAATTCACAGGATTCTCTCATACATTTTATTTGTCCTGCATTTTTTATTTCAGGATAGTTGGGTACATCTTCTGAAGGTATTCCATTTGAAAAATAGCTGGGTTTCTTAATATACTCTGGGACTTCAAGTTTTGCAGTAATATTTCCTGGTGCAACAATTTTGTATTTGCCAATTTTTTTCCTGGAACCATCAATCAAAGCATAATTTCGAAAATGATTCCTATATACTAACTTCTGCTTCGTCCAGAATAAACTTCTATTCTGGATTTTATTAAAGAATCGCAAAGCGTTCATACCATAGACTTATGTGTATTATGAGTAATAAAATTGAATTTGATTAATATCTAAAATAAATAATCTCTAGCACGTGTTTGGCTTGAGTTTTCAGTGTTGACTGTTGACAAAGAATATGTTTATGTTCCTGCTGCTGTTTCTGCTGTTGACACGTATGCACTGCACTGACCTGGCACTGACCCACTGACACCACTGACTGAGTAGTGACAGTGACAGTAGTGAGTACTAAACTGAGCAACTGTAATACTGGTGACAGTGTTGCCGTTTCAGAATTTCAATTTGTACTAGAAGTCATTTCGAAATTGTACTAAATTCGAGTATATTGTACTAGGTTGAGAAAATAACACTTAAAAATTTACGATTCACTAAATTGATGAAAAACTTCATATTAATTCATTGAAAATTTGAAATGATAATATACAGCACACCCCTCTGAAAAACGTAAGTCTTGAAACAATTTCTTCTCCTTCCACTATGATTATAACTAAGAAGAGCCGAAAATAAGAGATGAAAATGAACAGATTAGATTACAGATTGAGATCAAATACTATCACTATCATACTATCAATAAGATAAAAAAGATGACAACAGCTCATTGTTTCTCCGTTGAATTGGTAATTATGAAAATGAGAGCTTCATTAAGATTCCAATTATAATAAATCTTCTCCAAACAACTGTTTTGTATACAACAATAGCTTGGGCTAGGGTCCCTTGATGTAAATTGACGTATTTGATGACTTTAACGTCAATTTCTATCAAGGGACCCTCATTCAGTTCATTGGAGACCTTAGCTTGGGCAATCCCATCGGGCTATCCGGTTCTTGTTTTTGTACTAGGTTAGTGTTATTTGTATTGACGTACTAAATGTGTATAAAATGTACTAGAAAAAAAAGAGTACTAAAAATGGCAACTCTGACTGGTGATGATGCGTGATCCTGCTTGTGTAGCACGAAATTTAGGGATGCCGTTTTAAAATCGATTTTCAGAGATCGATCTATCACAACTATCAAAATATAAACATCAAACCAGATTATTCATAAATAAATGATCCAAAATGAGAGAAAATTCAAAAAATTGTTAATGAACTTATAACGTTTGCCTTCTCCTGCCATCTGTCCAGTTCTGACAGATGACAGAAAACATTGAAACTGAAAGTGATTCTGTGGTCTGGTATAATGCACAGCATAGGTACACTGTCACTTGTCACTGTCTTCTATTTTGCTACTCTTGTTTTCATCAAAGTTGATGGTTGATGGGTTGATGGTTCAGTGGCGGCGTGTACATTTTCGAATAAATTAATGTATGTAAAGCGTGGATTTCAGATCATCAATGCGTATTATTTACTTTGAATATGGCTGTCGTCGGATAACTCACGAATAACTCACAGTTGGCCATAACTCACAGTCCGTGGAATAACTCCCAAATGAATAATGTGAGTTATAACTCACAAATTGGCTGCCCTGGAATGAGTAACGAGTAATGAGTGTTTACTTATCTGACAATCTGACGTTGCGATGATGTCAAAACTGTGGGAAAGGAGTTTCTGTCATCCTATAGTTTTACGTCATCGCCACGTCAAATGCAAATGTGACCTGGAAAATCGCGAATACGGTGCTTGAACAAAACACTTTTAAGGGATATTTCATTCACATTCCCCTTTCAACCCGGTTCGAGTATTTCGGTGAAGGTGTTGGGAGGTAACTACGTCATATCCACTATCTCAGTTTACCCGTGCACATTTTTCATGTAGAATAGTCGAAAAAAAAAGTGAGGCTGTGTTCAGGTCTTCACGCAACCGATATTCATTGCCTCTAACCTCTGTTACACTCTACCAGCTCCTGCCAATGGAATTCGCCTATGTCATTGTAATGACTTTTTTCTCATTATGACTTATTTTTCATTATAATGACTTTTCCGTAAAATTCACTTTGAAGTCAGATATTTAGAAATTTCAGATTTCAGAAATATTTTTTTTTAGTTTTTCTTGATTTTCCGACTCCTTTTTGCCTTTATTCTGTCAGTGCTGCCAAAGCTAAATTTGAAAATGAGAAGAAGGTGGTTTCATGGTTGAGTTTTGATTTTTGGTTTGGTTTTTGTGTTTTGGTTAAAATGTTGGCAACCTCAATTCAATTGCAAAATCACGACGTGCCTGTGAATATTTACGTCAACAATTACAAGATTTTCTTGAGAATTCAGCAGGTTGAAATTGTTCAATTCTACAATAATATCAACGTGTATATTTGAATTCCTTTTCAATTAGTTGTATTTAGTGAAAGGTATTTTTAGAATATTTATTTTTAATCGTTAATTTTGGGGCGCCATTTTGTATGTGCCGGTGGATTTCGACGACTTGTCAAAAATTGAAAGTGTTCATTATTCTTTATTTGATGAAATCATTACAATACAAGTGGAATATATAAACATCTGTAGTCCTCAGGGATCCATCAGCTCTAAATTTTGGAAGGGTAAGATGCTATTAATATTATATTTTTAATTAATTGGTCTGTCATTAATGTCACTCCCATTTATTCTTTCGGGTATTTTTATTTTTTGTCTCCTCACTTATGACTTCATCTGTTGTAATAACACCTACCATTGAACAAAAAATGAATTGTTATATCAAAAGTGGAAAAAAATATTTGTTTGGAATATTTGATATATGAAATTGAATAATCTGTTGTGAAGTATGTTCCATTGTATGTATTGTGCTATCTGAATTCATCTACATCTATTCCAGTTCTTAAGATGATAATTTGAAAACAAATTGAAATATGACTATTGCAACCAGAGGACAAGGAACCACAGGAGACACCATTGAAACACAGGTGAGCAGTCATTGTTGTTTTGAGTATATTTTGCCTATTTACTTAACACTCATATATGGTGGATCTTTGTTTCCTTCAGTTGGCATAGACATCCAAATACTAAAGCTAAAAATATGAAATGGGATTCTTCTCATGCTTCAGCTTTATTAGAATTGTTGACCAGATCCACAGCAGTTTTGTACTGTCTCTTGTATCACATTATATAGAGTGTTGAATTTGATGCAGTATCCTAATCAACTGCTCAATAAAAGGTAGTGTATAGACTGCCAACCATTCAAATATCCACCTATTCTCATGAAACTAACATTTTTGAGAAAGGAAAAATATGATTTGAAAAAACAAAGTGTAATAAAATGGGATATACCTGAGATATGCCTACTCACCCAAATACTAACCTATTTGTGGAACTAAAATTGATCAAAGAAATTTTGTGAAGTGAAAAGGAGGAGAAGGAAAATGGGAAAAGGTATAGTCTTCCAAGTTTTCTTGATAGAAGAAAAAAATTTAACTCCATGAAATTGAGAGTTCAGAAAGGAACATGACCTGTGAGTTACCACAGGGTTTCATTCTGGGCCTCACTCTTCACACTTTATATTATGCCAATGCAATATTGTAAGAATGGATGACTTGAGACTAATTCCAGACTGGCTCACTGAAGTCTTTATATCCAAATTAGATTATAATATTTCTATCAATGAATTGAATACAAGACACTCCTGACCCTTCAATGTTGATTCTTGGGAATAATAAAGTTGATTGATTGAATTTTAGGAAAATTGAAAAACACCATAAACCACATATTGATTTAAACTGAAACTTAATGTTGAAAGGATGACCTAAAATATTTGAAAATCAACATTTGTGTACCAATGGGGGTACTGGAAAGTCTCAGCCTAAATATTTGCTGAGACCATTATATCAACTGCAGCTAATTCTGATTGACACTACCTCTGACAGTTTATGGGATTATTAAATAATATAAATTTATTTCATATTGATCATTGATTTTTCAATCATTTTGACCTAAAAATCATCTGATTTTAATTTATTTTCTGATATTCTTTCTGCTGATATCATAAAGAAAAGTATTGATAAAACTGCTTTTTTCTTGATATGTGGAGTACCTTTCAATGGAAGGAAAGTATTGATAAAACTGCTTTTTTCTTGATATGTGGAGTAACTTTCAATGAAAAATCCTCATTGGAAATTTTGGACTTGGGTATTAGTGAAGGTAGGTGTCACCTGTGTCATCTGGTGAGAGCCCATTTTGACTTCTACAAATCTAAGGGGCTCAAGAATTTTTTGAAAATAATTTCAATACATGTTTTTTTATAATTGAAGAGCTCTGTATACTAAGACATTTTTAATTACCGGATAATTATATTGCATTTTTGATGAGTTTATGTATTTTAATTTCAACCCATTCCCTACCTATATTTATTTACCTATTTCAATCACATTACTGATTGATCCATCATGATGAAATTACTAATGTTCACTGTTTTGTTATTGTGGTTATTTGTTTTTGAATGAATAACCAAATATTCCTAGATATTTTAATATTCTGAATTTCAATTATTTGTCATCTCAGAATCATCAGTCATCCGTTTGTCTTTACTCAGAGAATGTTGATTATGCAGATAGAATTCTCAAATTTTTTTCTTCTTCATCCATTTGGGAGCATGAGACTAACATTCATGGTCATTATCTTTGCTCAGACTGTTTTTTTTTATTCTTGTAGGCAAATAACCAAATCACTTGCTCAGACTGTTTTTTTTTCATTCTTGTAGACAAATAACCAAATCACCTAGATCATATTCAATACCTTTTACAGCAAATAATTATTATAAACAATAATTTATCACCATATAAAGTTTATCAAATAACATACATGTCAGCCTATTTGTATATATATGTATATGTGTAGTATATAGTATAGTGTGTAATAGTGATAAACACTTTTTTTTTCATGAAAACATGATCAAAGAAGTTGAAAACTTGTGCATGATGTAACTTGAAATTAGTTTTCTCCTTCAATATGTAGTTTTCATTTCTTTAGACCTGTAACTCACCCCTCATATTAAATACGTGTGTGACTGGCGAAAAGTGGACTTCATATGGAAAACTTTCGCTATTGATTTCTCTAAAACATTATTTTACGATGTTTTGTGCATCACTTGAAACTTGAAAAAATTGTTATAAAAATAGTGCCGCTCCTTTGATATACAGTTCATTAACATAAATAAGCAATAATCATGAGTACCCGGGATATTCTTTGACATTTGCTATTAGAGCAACATATGATACAAGATCAAAACACATTATTCATGAAATCATATCTGAAAGATTTGTAACAATGTGTCGGTAACAAAAAGTCTTTCAAGCATGGTGTCCCGCAAGGATCTGTACTCTGACCTTTCTTATTCGTCATTTATATAAAGAATGTATGTAATTACATAGCTTAACAAGTGTGTGTTTTTTGCGGATGACAACGTTAATAAATACAAATTTATAAGTCTCTCTCTACACATTTAGTAAGAGTTGAAATTATTTGACACATTAATAAGCTAGGGAAACAATAGAATCCGATGTAAAATTTGTGTTCTTTTAAAGATTTGGAATACAATTTTTTACATGTCGTTTTTCTACCTCCTCCTATCACTTAGTAGTTTCAAGAGGTAAACAAAGATTTATCAACCGTGAAGTTTTCCAACAAATCAATGATAATGAACAAATGTTGCCATGTGGTGACGACATTTTATGGTAGCTGTATCTGATCCTTTTTTTTACAAAATTTCACACTAGGGACCTGCTCCTGGGCCTTCGGAGAATAATACGGAAGAGGTGCAAGATGATAACTTTGAACCAGATTTCCCGAAAGACAAACTAGCTTCTCTAGAGGAAAAAATATCAAACTTGCGATGGGTCGTACCAGTGTTGGCAGACCAAGAATTAGAATGCCTCCTGAGAGTCTCCATAGACTTGGCGAAAAAAAATCTAGACACACGATCAGAGGCCTGCCAAAAATTTTTTCGAGAAGGACTAACAACTTCCTTCACGAAAATTCTCACGGATGATGCTGTTTCTAGCTGGAAATCAAACATTCACGCCTGTATATTCCAAAACTGCATGAAACTGATAGAGTTGTGTGTGGCAAAGCTACCGTATGATTGGTTTCCCCTATTGGATCTGTTAGCAATGGTTCTCAACCCTAATAACAAGTTCCACAGCTTCAATTCTCCAAGACACAGTGAAACTGCTGGGGCCAGTTCTAATTTGAGTGAAGAAGAGTTATTTGCAAGACCTTCTACTGATCCACGCAACCCTAGGGGGTGGTTGGTCGATCTAATTAACAAATTTGGTGAATTAGGAGGGTTCCAAATACTACTGGATCGTTTTCAGTCTGGGAATAATTTGAGTGTGTCTGTAGTTTTTGCCTTGCTCAGACCTTTTGGACTGTGCTATGAGTTTTTAACTACTCACACCATCAACAAATATATCTTACCCATACTGGTCAGTATTTTCACATTTACCACCTGCTCAAAACTAAAAATTTTTTTTTGTAGGAGATTATTCCAGGTATATTGGACAAACTAACGGATGATGAGTTGAAAAGAGAAGCTAAAAATGAGCAAAAAAGTGACATAGTCTCTGCTATAATAAGAGCTTCAAAAAATCTAGCATCAAGAGTACCTAACCAGGAGGAACTGATACGAACCTTAGAAGGGTTCAGACTTACGATGATCCTGCGGCAGTTGCAGATTTCTAGTTTCAATGGAAAAATGAATGCACTCAATGAAATAAATAAAGTTATATCTAGTGTCAGTTATTATCCAAACAGGCATCATGGCATGGAGGAAGAGGAGTACCTCACTCCAGAGCGTATGGCAGTAAGTACACAAGTTTATGAAAATTTGTTATTATTAATAGCAATCCACTGTTATACATTGGACATTGCCCTAGAGGCCGATTTTCAGTATCTGTTGATATACTGATATAACCGATTGGTAATTCAAAAATTCCCTCTCGCGCCTCTAGTGGCTGAATTTGAAACTCTCTAAGAACGATATTTGCCAGCTGTCGACCATGAAAAGAAATGTTAGCTGATGTAGACCACCTACATAAATTAACAATTAGACCGTCATGCCTAAGGTCAAAGCTCATTCATTTACGAGGTCGAACTTGTTTCAATGGAGCATGCACATTCAAGACCTGCCATATATCTTACTCACTCTTACTTATGTTTCCGAACACCAAGAAACCTGACTCCATGTCATGAACGAGAGTTTGGGAGTTCCTGCGCATTGAGCAGGAGCGTTTCCAGGCGAGAAATTTGGATAATATTTTCGGGTTGCTGGGATATGAAAAATAGCGGTCCAGATAGTAGTCATGTCAGTCAACTCGTCAGTTTTCTCAAAATACTGATTGTTTATTGAATTGTTACATATGCCTCTGTAGGATTCCCCTTACGAACACGGCGCCATTACGTTCTCGACCACCGGCCCGTGAAAATAATCACTTCGACACGCATGTCACAGTGTTGTCACAGAGCTCAAATTTCCTGGAGAATTCCGTACTTGGACAGCTTCCAAATTGTGACACTAGAGGCGTGTGTGTAAACTTTGAGGTGCCGATAGAAGTATAAACGTTTTTTCAAAGGAATCATACATATTTCATACACAAAAATATTTTGATTATAATCAAACATTCAGGATTAAATGAATCACTTACAAATGGCAGTTGAAGCCATGAATGTGCCTGCTGGTGTCCCCAAAACAAGGACTGTTTACAAATTTGATGATGGGTGTTTGATTCAATATAAACAAGGATATATCTGGTTATTTTTTCATGAAAGTACTAAATTCTCCACCTATCTATAAAAAAAACGATAAAATAGATTGGTAGACACGTTTATATTTCTATTTTAATAATTGATCCATAACCCTATTCATTCATCAGAAAATCATCATGGGCGTGTGCCTCAATATTATAACCCGAATGAAAAATAGGACATTTCATTCAAAGATCTAATATTATATACATATACAGGCATGGGCAACCTTTTTGTGTAGGGTTCAAATAGAAAAATTCAGCAAGGACCACGGGCCAGAACGGAAACAATCTTAATTTTAATCTTCTTGATTTTCCCACAACCGGAGTTTGCTTTGAAAAGATTTTACATGGGTAAATAGCAGATGGGAAAATTGTCCATTTTCAGGATACTCGTATTGAGCTCGTTCAAATAATTGGTGACATCAACTAAATATGCGAAATCAGATGAAAATCATTTCCTAAAGGTAGGCCAGTTTGGGTTTGCACTTAATATCCATGAAAGTTAGAAATCATTTCAACATCTTGCCATTACTTTACTGAGCCAGCAAACTTCACATTGTAAAATGATTTCTCCATGTATTTTTGTTTGGGATCACACGTTAAAAGGTAGGACCCCCGTCATTCCTTGCTCACACAAATCTCTTGAAGACTTCTGAGGGTTGCTCGTAAGGGGGCAACCGAATGATGGATAAGAACAATTTTAGAACAGTTCCGTATCCAAGCCCTAGCGGAATTGCAGAAACTGGCGGTGATTCAAACTTTTTCAGCACAGACACTCTCTTGACGTATAATACAGTGTAATATGAACAAAAAAATTGACGTAAAAATTTCTTCTTGATAATATTCATTTCATTTTACACTTTTCCCTATCATCGCGGGAGCGTTATCCGTTCTGACACTACTCAACTTTTCCCAATTCAGATTGAAACCATGCAAAAGAAAACAGTTACCTCAAAAATGTCTTCTACCCTTGAACTTTTCATAACTTGAAGTGCGAGCAAATTCTCTGTTATTGTGAATATTTTGTCGGCTGCACAAATAAAAATTGCTTTAGTCGCGCTGTATCAGAAAGATCGTTTTATATACTTCAAATGCTATGGAAAATGCAACACATTTGTTCACAACTTCGCTAAAGGTGACTCTTATATTTTCTTCATATCTTTCAAAAATTCACTTTCTGAAGGGTGCCTTCCATACCAGCTTCTTTCAGTAAATTTTTAAAGAAGACGTGCTGCTATTTATTGAACCATTTCCATAAGAGCGGAAAAAACGTAGCGTTTTGTACGTCAGATGAATGATGAAATGTCAGGAGAATATAATATTAAGATCAATATTAGATAATAGATATATTAGATCTACATTTTAATCCTGATTTTATTGTAACATGAAAGATATGTTATAGACAAATATGTGTGTAATTGTTATGAATGATGTTCATCATGGATTCATTGCATGAAATAGCAGCAAGCAGAATATTGCAACGCAGATGCCTAGTAGGTAATCCTATATTAGAAGAAGGAGTCGATTTTGGGTTCATCGTATCAATACTGTTCATGCAAGATTTCTGCATGGAGAATGGAGGCCATCAAAATTTATTACAAGACATGCGACTCACTGGTGTAAATAAATACTTAAACCATTTAAGGATGACACCTGATTTATTCGATGTTTTATATTTTTCACTTCAATTTATTAGTTACCGTCTCTTAACAAACTTATGGTATCATAATTTGTCGAAAAGTCGACCATTAACAGCAAATTAATTTTTTCCATTACATTATTATTGTACCAATATTACTGCTGTCTCAGCTTGAATAACTTTGACAGACATTTCCTCAGATATTTTTATAGCATAGCATCAAACGGGGCATCAAATTAGACAAAGATGTAAAACTATTTGCATTGTAAAACTTGGACCAACATCCAGCATCATGACCCTGAGAAAGCGGCAGCTAAATTTGGAGAAACCTGATTGGCTCAGCGCTGAAAGCTAGCAGCAAAAAGCTGGTGTGGAAGCCCACCTTGAGAATGACTGAATATTCCACCACTTTCTTACTAACAATATAACGAAGATCTAGAAACGTCCGATGCCATTGCCGGGCTTTCCTAATATGAAAAGCAAAATTCATTGGCGGGCCGAACAATTTTCGGTCGGGGTGCAGGTAGCCCATGCCTGCTCTACTAACAATGTTTGAAATCAGTAATTTTATTTCAATCGAGTTGAAAACAAATCGCAATATTTCATCTGCTCTTGACAGAATCAAAATAAAACAACAATAAAGAGATTGCCAGGTGATATGCGTAGTACTACTATAATATTCTAGCAAATAATGTCCATAAATAATATTGGAAAAATAATTTTAACAAGCTAATAGAAAATATCCCGTATTTTTATATTTTGTAGAAATGGATTAATGAAAACAAAGTTCTCGAAATAGTATTAAGGGATTCTCTTCATCAGCCCCAATATGTAGAGAAACTGGAGAAAATATTGAGATTTGTGATAAAGGAAAGGGCCCTGAGTCTCAACGATCTCGATGCAGTTTGGGCAGCTCAAGTAGGTAAACACGAAGCTATAGTGAAAAATGTCCACGATCTATTAGCCAAATTGGCGTGGGACTTCAGCGCCGAACAGTTGGATCATCTGTTCGAGTGTTTCCAAAACAGTTGGACCTCGGCATCGAAACGCCAAAGAGAAAGACTGCTGGAACTGATACGTCGACTGGCCGAAGACGATAAAGATGGCGTGATGGCACACAAGGTGCTGACTCTCTTCTGGAATCTTGCGCATGCCGAAGACGTGCCGACCGAGATCATGGACCAAGCACTGACTGCGCACGTCAAGATCCTGGATTACAGCTGTTCTCAAGAAAGGGATGCTCAAAAGACGGTTTGGTTGGACAAGTGTGTGGAGGAATTGAAATGCGGGGAGAACTGGGTGCTGCCCGCCCTGAAGCAGATCCGAGAAATCTGCACCCTTTACGAACAAAATACGAATGGAGGGCATACCCAGCGCACCCATCAAATCTACTATAGACAAGAAGTCATAGAGAGATTGCAAAACCAACATTCTCTGGTCATCTTAGTTACTAATAGCCTCACCGGTTACATGAGTCGACTGCGTACTTTGTTTGCCGAAAGTCCTGAATTGACTGCCGAAACCTTTATCCCTGATGGAAGATACTGCCATGCATTACAAGTACAAGAAAGACTGAATTTCCTCAGGTAAATTCTATTTTTATATAAACTCACTTGCAAAAAAAACAGTCACCCTAAATCATCATGGGCCGTCTTTTTGCCAATGAGTGTATATACAATCTAATAAAAACTATAGAACACTAATAATAATTGGAGATGATCAAATCATTACATTACAGGAATGTTCATTATATTATAATGAAAAACAAGAGGTTTTTGTATGCCTAGGTCGCGAAATATCTTTTTAGCGCCCGCAAAAAAGTTATCGTCTACCCCGTTTGCGGTCGAGACAAGATAATCTTGAGGTTTGGCGGCTATGGTATACACACCGTTTTTCGTGCAAATTATTGAACTAGATGATGAAAAATAAATGTATTAGTGCCTCAAAATCAACAGTAGTTCAATTTAATTAACGAAATCACAGACTTGGTATGGAAATGACATGTATACAATAGTAACTTACGTAACTGGTACCAAAAGTTATATTTTACGGGATGAGTAGGAACTGCGATTCCCGTAAGGTAACTTTTATAAGCGTTTATAAGCAGCAGCCCATAACATTTTTCAGCCTTTCGCGACATCAAACATTTCCGGAGCAATTTCCTTTAAAATTATAGAATTTTTGCATGCATTGTTTTTAGTTGAATGTGGACAAGTGGAACATAAATTAATCTGATCTTCATGCAAGAGATATCAGTTGATCTAACCAAAATATCACTTTTTAAAATAACTTTCCTAATACTAAAATAAAATGGGGAAGGAAAGATAATAGAATATTTTTCAGATTTCTTCTGAAAGATGGGCAACTGTGGCTGTGTGCTGAACAAGCAAAACAAATCTGGCAATGTCTAGCCGAAAATGCAGTATTTCAATCGGACAGGGAGGCCTGCTTCAAATGGTTTTCGAAATTGATGGGAGAAGAACCGGATTTGGATCCTGGAATAAACCAGGATTTTTTCGAAAACAACATATTACAGATAGATCCGGTCTTGCTAACTGAAAGCGGAATCAAATGTTTTGAAAGGTTCTTCAAAGCCGTGAATATGAAAGAGGGCAAAATCAAAATGAAACGAAGGTTGCTACTTACCGAAGATCCCGACCTAATAGGCTTAGACTATCTTTGGAAAGTGGTGACCCTTTGCCCGAATGACATCGCCAATAGAGCTATAGAACTTTTAAAAGAAGTAAGCACTAATTTAGGTCCTAGACTGCTACAAGCCCAACTGGTGTTCCACGAAACCTACATAACAGAATGTTATGACAGGTTACGCGCTCACTATGACACCCTAACGATCCTGCAAAAATCAACCAACGACAAGGAATTCGACACGGATCAAATACAAAACCGGATTAAGGCCGAGGCTGTGAAAATGTGCAGGGTGATGAAAGTTTTGCACGAATACATGAGCGAATGTGATAACTCCTTTGTTGGGGAGAGGAAAATTCTTCCCTTACACAGGGCGTGCCATGGTAAACATCTCACATTGATCGTGAGGTTTTCTAGTCCCAGTAGACAATTCGAAGATTTGGAACTGTACACTCATTCGAATGACACGTTGGCTTCTTTGAGGAAGTATATTTTGAAAAGGATCAAACCTGGGGTGCATTGTAAACTGGAATTGTTCGTTAATGGGGAGCCTTTGGAGTCTACAGATGATAGGAAGCTTCTTTCTCAAATACCCATTAGGGATAAAATGGTAAGATTTTTATTTTTGATCAAAGTGTAAGTACAATGGTTCTTTCTCAAAGCAACAACAATAGATATAGGGACTAATGAGCACAGAAGTTCTTTGGGTAATAACTTTTTAATCATAATGCGTTTTTGTTCATTTATGAAGTCTAATGTGAAAATATTTAGATTTTTAAAAGAAACTTGTAATATAGGTGATATGAAGAAACTGAAACTATGATCCAAGTTCTATTGAATGAAACGGAAAATAGTGAATGATTCTAATTCATTGAGCTAATTTTTGAGCTTCCCTTTCACCTCCGTAAGACATTACGACGATCTTCGGAACACGCTGTATATGTTTATTATGTCAAATATCAAATCTGAACCACTTAGTATTCAAACCACTTTGCCAGTTTGAATATTGAAATTTTTTTCACAGCACATTCAATCTTAAAATGTTATCAGTCTTTCTTAACATACCTCATTGAAATCCCATTGATCCTTAATTTTTCAGAAGTGTTATGTGATCAACTGTATCAAAGGCCTTTTCTGAGATCAATAAAAATCGCACATAATATATCAAGTCTTTTTTGAATTGTCCATAATATAATTTATCTGATGGCATGTCATAATGACAACGTTATGTCACTCAATTTTGATGACATAAGGAAGCTCATTATGGTACTAAGTACCATAATGAAATTCTATAAGGAAAACATGTAATGGTTTGATCAAAAAAGTTTATTCAAAAACATGTAATGGTTTGATCAAAAAAGTTTATTCAAAATGCATAACTATGTACAAAACTATTTATTATAAATGGTAAAAGAACAATTACTACAATTTGTAATATTGATATAATGGCAAAGCACAGCTCACTCACCTACTAATATTTGAAACTACACAATACTTACTCCTTTAAAAATAGTTGTCATTGTGACATGTCGAAAATGCAGTTTTTAATTTTTCGAAAATGTATTGATATAAATGCCATCAGATAAAATTTTGTATGTAATACGAATCATAAACAATCATTATGGCACACGCCGTGTTATCGGACTCGGCTACGCCTCGCCCGATAACATTGTACCATAATGATCGTCTTTATGATCCTTATTACATAAATAACTATTTTAGTTTTCTCATTACATTTTTGCACTAAGGCAATATCTTTGAAACATTGTCGTGGCCGATAACTTGTAGCTGTCTCATTGATTCTAAATGGTTACAAAAGTGATCCAACTATATCAAGGGGCTTTATTTTGATCAATAAAAATGGCTATCACATAATTTCCCGAATAAAGTCCATTTTCAGCTGCTTGTATTACTTGTAATATTTCCGCTTGTGTATCATTCTTGAATAACAAATTGACTTGTGTCAAAGGTATTCGCGAGATTCACGAAGTGGGCGACATCTAGGTTACATAATACGAACTTCAAACTGGGGGAAAACAAACTGTTGTCTATGGATAAAGTGCATTTTTATTAGTTCAGTGAACAGGTGAAGAATTGGAGATAGTTCAAACAATTCAAACTAATTATGACGAGCAAATCAATTAACATATAAAAGAACAGCTACAACATGTTTACAATACCCAGATTGTCCTGCTTTGCAGGAACAAATACAAATCCATTGTTCTACAGGAGTTCCTCTGGACCCCAACTTCAATTTTACTTCATGTGGGGAAGATTTCATCGCCGAAGTTTGTAGACAAAGTGCAAAAATGTGCCTTTTGTTGAAGTCTTCTGCCTCACACAAAATCACATGATTAGCATGGAGAACTGCTTCTTCTTCCTCTACTGGTCCTCTTTTTCCATCTAAATAGAGCAAAATATCTGCCAAAAGAACATCTGCAACAGGCGTTTTCGATCGAATATTGACAACTAATGTCAAGAAATTTAAAAACTTATCACTCTTATCAGTACACAGTACACAAGCTAATGGTACTAATGGGATTGAGTGAGGATTGAGTTTGTTTTCCCCCAGTTTTGACGTGGCTTTGACATGGAACGATGAAAACCGAGCGCCACCTGGTAACATTGATTCCCGCGAATATTTTTTATTTATGAAATGTATGTTTTGAAAACAAAAAATAACGAGTCGGGAAGCTCCATCTCAACCATTTTGTAGCTGATCTCCGCCAAAGTAGTCCAGATCAACTCGAACATGGCCTCGTCCCAAGACAGCAGCTCGGACAGCTCCACCTCGTCCCCGCAGCACCCCTACGACGGTCCCAACGTCGAAGCTGAAAATCTCTTGCCGGGCGTGCTGATGTCGCAGCTGCAGACGTACGCCCTGTTCTTCTGCCAGTTGACGAATCTGGGCAGCGCGCTTCCCTTTCCGCTGCTGCGGGATATGGGCCACGCGCTGCTGCAGCTGATGCCCTGCGATCTGACCACTATGGAGAAGTTGCGGGTGTTGTTTTCGACGCAGGCGGACCAGAGCGTCAGCATGGACGGGATGTTTTTCAGTGCTTCGCCTGCCGAGGTGAGTGAAATACGCGGTGTTTTTTATTTGTCGTTAGGGGTGGGCAAGAAGCGACTGAATTTAGGATCGTAACGCCAAAGTGGCCGATTGTGTAACTATATTAAAGTACATGGTTTTGAAATGGTCATTTGCCTCACTTTTGTCTGTTTATTTGTGTACTCATGTCATTCGAGGGAGTTTTTAGCAGATATTCGTTCAATAAAGTATGTTGCACTACATCAAATACATGAGATTCGCAAAATAAAAATACCAAAATTTGAGGTTATGTTAGTTTGCATTACGTTCCCATTCAGTAGTAAAATGAATATTGCAAACTGAGTGGAGTGAATATGATGTTTAAGGTCACAGGTAGGTAAATATTGTAGTCAATTCATCTGCATTATGTTTATGAAAGAGAAAAAGTCCTCAAAGCTGCTAATAATTAACTTCACAAACGATAAGATTTCCACAAAATGCCATGGATTTCCATCAAGTAATTCAGTCAATTCAAAAACAAAATCCAATAATTGATCTACCTAGTAGGAAAAATTGTGCATGTTCTTTGCTTTTGAGTAAGCATCTCATTTTTTCAAATTCCTACTGTGACTTTTGACTTCTGGGAATAAAATGCAACTGAATTCATCTCGAAGTTGACAGAAAATCTTTCAATTATACACTGATTGAAATGATCATTTTCTGTGAAATGCAGTGTGAAAACTTTCATGAATAACATGTGAAACAATTCAATGATTCAAGATACTCTACTGAAGAATTCAAAATCAAAAAATATCATAATGACCACTAAACTTTCCATGAAATGCATAGAAACTTGATTGTAAACAAACATTCAATGTACTTTCCATTGGTTAACTTGAATATCAGCAAGAGGGCGTATCGATATTATCAACATCAAATAAGAAGATAATAGGTAGCGCTTCTTCTGAAGGACTATTTTCGACGAAATAAATATATGACGCCTAATCCAAAATGATGCTAAAATTTTATTGTACGAAAAATAATCGAAATTTTATGATGTGAACTTCTTCCCATAAAGAAAACTTCATACGCTCACGCCACGTCGTAAGTCATATTATTAGTCAAGTGTAATATTGTTGCAATGGAGTGAAGTAGTGATCGATTACAATTAATAATCAACAGAAATTTCGAAAATTCAGATAGCAAATTATCGCTATTATAGATATTATCGATAGTATTGGTATTATCTGAGTTATTATCTATAATGGGCGTGTACACCTTGGTAGAACTTTTAACTCAAACCATGTTTATAATGATCCTTTCATAATGATTGACGACATAATTCGATCGAAAAATTTACTGAAATGTTCAATTTTTGGACATAAATAATAGTACCATCTGAAAACGGACCCTCTTATGACGTAGAAACCTCATCTCGCCATAGTTAAAAGAAAATACCAAACGCCGGACGGATACTGAGGCAACTGATATATTAATTCTCTCAACTGTGATCTCGCCCTAATTCACTCTGCCAGAAATCATGTATCATTCATCTCTGTCTGGAATAGTCCTGTTTCAGTATTAGGGTTTTGACGTCACATCATCGCCTCGTTTTCAGAGGTCCGAAAAATCGGGGATTTCAATAATTTTTTATAAAACGTAGGGAGCTCACAGCGATAAACGGTTTTCGGTGGTGAGCTAGTTTGGGTGAGTTCTATCGAATTATGGAATAAATTTTTTTTGTGATATGAGCCCATTGTCGTTATCTTGACTACGGCCAATGAAGTTTTATATACATCGTACGTTACCGGTGCGGGTAGCTATAAGAGGGCATTAAACACATGGGAGATGAACCGTTTTCCCTATAATATTTATATGCATTCATACAAAACGAAATTTCTTCCTATAAAAACACGTACTTCGGTATAATCAAGTGCTTATATGTTTCTACATACTAGCTTGAGTTGTTTGACATTTGATTTCAATTAACAGTAAATCACAACGTGTCAAAAGTTTTGATGTAGTATTAGTATCATTTCTATATAAGTGATGTCATCAAGTTTAACATCATGGTTTGAGTCATTAGTACTATGAAGTTCTTTGTTCCAAATATTAACTTGAATATTCATTGGGAAGAACCTGATTTTTCATTGCGTTGACAAATAAATACGGAAATTTTTCATAGAATTCGAATTTGTTCATTATAATTGGTCTTTACCTAAATCTTAGGTTAAGTTAGGTCCCATGTGAGTGAAGAAATTACCGCCCCTTCACCGCGACACAGATTGGTATTGTGGCTCAACTCTAGGGATCACAGTTCACTGAGTGATCCATTTTTTTTTTTACCAAGTACATGGTTGCATGCGGTCAGCCTTTCCCGAAATCGGTAGGTTCTAAATTGGTGAAACCAAATATGTTGAACCTTAATCTCTCTAACCAAGAGCAAGAATATAATATGTGTTTAGCCATTTCACCTTCCACACAACAGAAATGCAATATATTTTTTGGGTCAGAACAATCCTTCCTAGATGGTATCTTATGACGACAGTGTCACGTAAGCAGTCCTGTCAATAGATCCGCAATTGACCATTCTAGAACACGAGATTTTGACATGGTTTCTTGAGGGGCACACAAACTATCTGTTAGGTTATCCTTGGTGAGCATAGCCCTGGCCATCCCTGCCACACCTACAGTATAATAACAGTTTCACCAAACAAAATTAAGGAATTCTTTCTGGTTCTAACTCGAATTCCGAGGAAAACGATCCCACTAATTCTGGTTTTATATATATTTTTTTTATGGCTTGGAGCGCACGTAATTCTGGAATCATTAATAAGTTTCGTGAAAGAAGATGCTTCCAAATCGAGAGGAAGTAATAATCGCAAAAAAAAAACTGAGAAACCTACCAATTTGTTTGGTTGCCAGTGCTGGTGAAAACTAGATTGGTGGAATTTATCAAGTGAATGAACTTCATCTGGACAGTTTACTGTTGTTTAAATTTTTAAAACTAGAGTAATACAATTTTGAATGACAATGACATTCACAAAAACTAACCATTGTCATTTATGTGTCCGAACTCTTATCTAACTAATACCATCGAGTGACTCTAATCCAAAGTACATTGTAGGTGTTGTACAATTTGGAAGTGCTGTACTCCATGCTGATGCCAGCTCTGGACACGCTCTCGGAAAAGACCTACGAGTTCCAGTACAGCTTCATGATATCCGGGGAGGCCCACGTGTTCTTGGAAATGTTGACGAAAAACAACTTCATGTCCACGGCCGACAACGTCACTCGCCGGTCGGCGTACCTCGTCGTCTTGAAGATTTGCAAGCTCGTGCTTACTTCCGTGGCGCACGTGTTGGTGCGACTCAGCGAAGACCACACGCCCGAGAACGAGCCGCTAGGCGAGAATAGCGCGACTCCTCCCGGTACATATTTGAGGCAGGCGTTGAGGAATGTGCCTGGCCATTCGGATCATGTAAGTACATTGTCAAATCATCTGATTTTTGGAGTCAAGTCATAATGTTTGTCGGTTACACAACCGAAAAGATACATATAATGATGAAGATGGAAAGCCCTAATTCCGAGTGACAATGGAAAATTAAAAAACTCCACCGCCCCGTGTGAGAGTCGAACTCACAAACTCTGGGTTACATGCACAACGCAGAGGTGTGTGTGCGAACTCGATCTCGTTGCCGATTGATCGACGGATGACCCGTTAGCTCAATTTGCAGAGCGTTGGGCATGTAACCCAGAGGTTATTATCGGGAATTTCGGTATTTTCTTCAGAGTTCATTTGGTCTGCGTAAATTTGATTGACAGAGAATTAACAATTCTGACAAAACATTGTTTGGTATGTATGATTCATTTCCATGGTTATTCTCAAGTTTTTCCGTGCACTGAAAAAGCCTATCTTACAATATTACTAATATAGATGAAAACAAGTTGTTTTCAAAGAAGTGTAATAAAAACAGCGTTCCTCAATTATGAATAGAAAAATTTCATTTCATTAATAAGTTCGGAACTCCTCATATTATGTCCACCGTGTACAGAATGGCGATCGATAAAGTCCAAGTCCTTTTTATTTTCGAAATAAAGCAATTTCTAATTCTCGGGGCGGCAAACTGCGTGACATACATTCTGAATCTAGTCTGAATATAGCTGATGAAGAATATAGCTAGGCAATACCTAAGGAATAAAAAACGAATGTAATAAATATAAAAAGAAGAAGACAACTTTGCGTCGTTGATGTTTTTATGAAAAATAGCGATGATCACATAACTAACAAAACAACTATAAACTGTAGACATAGGCTAACAAAAAGGGAAACATACATAACCACAAAATCAGACCAGGTCTCACTGTGCCTCTCAATATTTTGTGTGGTGTGGACAGGCTCAAAGTATTATGCACTGTTGCAAGATATAATCTGCTACTTTGTCTAGAAAATAGATCCGTTTTATAGAGGAATCGATTCATTTGCAAAAAAAATTCTGCCAAGTTATGATCATCATTTTGTAATATAACGAAAGTTGAAAATTATAGATACTATTGCAAAATATCATAATTTATCTTTATTAGTAATCAACCTCATCCAGCACATGAGAGATTTATGAAATTTATTCATAATACGCGACAAAGTAGGATTTAAAAACCTATAATATTCCATTGCTGTTATGATTTACTTATAATGTATTCAAAGAACAATTTTCAGAAATGTAGACATTGATGATGTCTGCAACTTTGTACTGACACAGGAAATCGAATTTTAACTCTGTGTGAATGTGGATTTTCAGAAAGTATGTCATAGGAATGGTGGAGGAGCCAAGCTCCTCTTCCACTTATATTCTTCAGAAGGGACATTTGATCTTGAGAAAAAACGGAAAAATATGTATGTAATAAATTTTTAAAAACTTCTCAGTGAGATAAAAACCGCATATTGTAAACTTCCACAATATTGGTATAACGAATTTTAATGTCCTGAAGTGATTTCCATAAGTATCAAATCTGACCAAGAGCGAGCAGGTATTGAGATTTTACTTTTGAACTTTTTCTCGCATTAGGTCGCTAATGTGTACCAAACTATGTTCTAATTAAAAAGTCCTTTTGATTCTTCTTTGATTTTATGAATATTTTCATGTAACAACAGTGGTACACTTAGATAAAATATCAGGTGTTCCACTCCAAGAGCAATACTTTTTCCAATCAGCAAGAAGGTTTTTGATTGTTTCATACAATTCATCAGGTTTGCATCTTAACACATTCGCTGTTCATGACGGCCCTGGACGACATTGACATTGTCAGATGCAGCAGAGATTTCAGCATCGGAGGAAGATATATTGAATAGGGTAGCAGTGAATGTGTTATAGGCAAACAACGCTAAATTATATTAATCAGCCAAAATTTGGTCAACAAAACATTGAGTCGCGTTGAGAAGACAGAAATTCTTGGCAAATAACTGATATTCTGGCATTCATTCAACAAAATAATAAGAGCACATGTACATGGTAATTTTGATATCTAGTGTTTTCACATAAAAACGTCCTACCAATGAAGAAACTGTAGCGCGCCCACCCTAAAATCATTGATCAAGTTATCTAGTATTAAGCTAATGTACCTTTATTCTTACATTTGAATTGTGCCTTACGCGTGTATTCTGATTGAAAAGCGTGAAAAGCACCGATAGTGTTGGAGAAGGGACTGAAGGGAAAGTGATTTAGCCATGTTTTTTGACCGTAAGCTCTAACGAGTTTTGCTGAGTTGAGTGTGGCTGTGCTGGCCAAACCGATCAGTGATTAGAAGCTGTATGTATGTATGTAGAATCAACGATGAAAATATCAATCTCCATGGTGAGGTGAGACGTCTTTATTTCTTGTCGATTGTCAAGGAGCTCGCTGTTACGATTGTTGAATGTTCCAAAACAATCAAATCTCGACTCTCGTTCTTGCAATGTTGGGTCTGTGTGCCTATGTACGATCTATGTGAACTAGTTTGTTTAATTGTCTTGCGACCTTCCTAAACGGCACTAATGCCTATGATCGCTAACCACCATTAATAGTGGGCATCCGCGCCAGCTACAGCCGAAGGTGGGGTGGTTCGTGATATTTTTTTGTGATATCATCTATAAAGTGAATTAATAAATTGGGCGCCAGGAAATTTACCCCGCGCGAATACCCTAAACAGAACGAACTCAACCTCCAAATTTACCAAAAGCGAGATTGAGGCAAAACCATGTCAAGGTGTTCAAATAAAATAAAAGACGTGTCACCCTTGGATGCCATTATAATTCGAGTTACTATACTATAGATAATACAAGCCCAAGATAAAGTAATTCTAACAAATATTCTACAACAATAATGTTGAACCATTAAGTCACAATACCCGATATAACGGCAAGCTAATAAGTATCCTACTTTTAAATTTACCGCCTAAACCAAACACTCTTAAGCAGTATCGAGCAACCGAAATTATGAAGCGAATAACGTATGTTCAGCACTAAAAATATACCAGATACATGGATGAAGCGCTCGAGGTGGGTAGGCAAGCGTGGGACATAAGGGCGTTTGATATACCAAGTTAGGCGCTAGTGTGATAGCGCAACGCGTGAGCTCAGGCGAGGGCGTGATAGTAAGTAAAATGCGCGCATGCAACAAACTCCGCTTACATAACCCCTCAAGTGATGCTAATAAATAACAACCAACCAGAAGTAATAAGGCGAACAAAATATAACCGTATTTGTAACTAAATAACGTAGTAAATTTCAGCAACCCTAACTAATCGGGAAGCAAAATGTGTCAGCAATTGTCACTAACCAAATGGCAACTAACGGCAAATACAGACAATCAAATATGCAAAAAAAAAATAGCGACATGCGCAAATAACAGTGAATACTTTCACTCGGTTTTACAATAGCAGGGATAAGCAAGCATGACCCATTCCCTAAGCAAATACATAAGCATATGCAACCAATAAATAAGCAAATAGTAGCAAAGATCAAAAGCAAAAGATAAAAACTTGCGTGTCCTTCTGGCTTATTTACGTGTACTGGGCCACCCCGTATTTCTGGTAGATGGGTTGTGCAATCTTCGTGAGCTTCTGTCGTCGAAGAAGACTCAGTACAAAGTGTCCACCCGGTATAAGTGCCTCCTATGTGAATGGATTGGGAAGAAGTCTTACAATGCGGCGACCACCCTGTATAGCCACCTCACAGATGAATGAATCTGAAGATATTCTAGATGATGCGATGACCACCCTGTAAGGTGCTGCGCAGGTAAGTGGATTTGGTACACTCCAACTCATCAAATAATTCTTCAATCCAAGAAAATTAAAACCCTGGGAAGAAATGATTTCAATTACTATTTCTCCCAGACTTAAACCATATCATTTCCCCAGAATACCAGGAAAATGCATAAAAAAAAAATAAAAATGTTCTCAAATCAGTAATATGGGCCATTCCAAAATCAGTCGAATAACACAAAAAAAAAAGAAAAATTAACTCCCCAAGTTGTACCCACAACCAGAAGGAAGGAATGTTTAACAACAGCCCCTGGAGAAATCATGTTTTTGTGAATTTAATGAAGTAAATAGGCCCTTGGGTATAATGCCTAAATTTTATGAAATTTCACTGTGCCATTATATTAGCACATACAACTATTATAGTAGATGCTAAAATTACAATACAACTGTATCATGAAAATCAGTCTCTGCTCATTACAAGTAAATGGCAATAATCTACAGAGTCTAATAACAGATCAAGAAGTACTATAATTTAATTTATAAAAATATATGAAGTAATATAGAAAGAAAGATAAGCTTACCCGGCCCAGAGGGTTTTTTTTGTTTCCTTATACACAATATTTGACAGTGCGCCAACGTATGAACGAACGAGTCTGATAATGGATTATGGGCCTTAACGCACCTGTCAATAAGGATGTGATACGACATGGACTGTTTTCCTGCTTCAAGTAAAAAAAAAATAGTGTTACTTGAGAAAATACTGCACGATCCAGATTCACAACAGATAGAATTCACACATCGAGAAAACACAGAAATCCACATACCTAATCATCAATCTCAGGAGCACTCGCTTCGATCACTTCACGAATATGATGGAGGTGGGTAGAATTTAAAATCCTCAAATCGAGTTTAATTTTGGGTCAGCGCTACAAAATATCTACCAAATAACAATCGCCTGACCCCAAAATTACCAAATGTGATCAACAAAAATAATCCCGGTTACGGATGATATAAAATATCAAAGATTTTGTGACACAAATTCCACCATCACACTCTCCACTACAAATCTAGAGAAGTCATCCTCCTGTCTCCGAAATTTCCCGATCGGACTTCTGTCAACGGTCATTGGTTCTTCGGACACGACCAAAACCCAACTCTTCAACTATCGAGTTCGACACCATGGATATCACCAATGATATAGGTCACAGTCCATGGGAGAGAGACAAGGGTTCATGAAATCATGTTATGTAACCACTTTCAGACTAATCCAGGTGAGTATAAGGCTCAAATTTCAATAAATACATTTTCATTTCTACGGAATTTTCCTTTTTAGATGTGGCAACGTCGAGAAAATCGATAGTGATCGATTTATGTCTCCCATCGCCATTCGAACACGGGAGCTGGTTTTGTGACCTATATTTACGGTGCCATTAACCTGCCCAGCTACCCAGTCAAAACAGAGACATATAACCCCTCATAATTTACCCAATATTATGATTTATAATATTGCGAATCCAAGAGATATCCCCTATACTACTATCGTATCAGGATCAGGTACGTCCAAATCTTATTCAATTATAATATTTACACTCCATACATCATTTTTTGCTTATGGCATACCAGCAGAAATACTATTCTCTTATTCATTATTTTTACATATAAACATACTTATTCAGATAATCCTTCAATATTATTATTAACAATACGTTTTCTTTTCCAGGACTGACTAGGCCAATGAATGAAATCCAGCCAAGAACAGACTTTTTGGACGAATCGAGATGTCAGTATCAGCTGTGAGATGAAACTAGATTTGCGATTGAATCAACCGATCAACAACCTCAAGACTACAAGGACTATGTTTGTCAACGCAATAATAGGAAGTGATTTACATTAAACACAGAGTGTTGTGAAAATGACTTGTGAGATCTATGTTGAATAAATATCCAGAGTGAGTAAGATTTTATGTTTATTGTGGTATTGTTACTGAAAGTAATCTGAAATTGTTAACGAGGAATTTGAACGTTACAGTCTCATATTCGCGACATTGTTTATTTTACTAATAAAAGATTTAATTGAAGTTAATTGGTTTTCTTTTTTTTTTTCGCAAGTCTTCCAGCCCTTGAGAACCTAGATAATCTTTTATTAAAATCATGCTTACGACTGAGATGGTATACTATAAAACGACGAGATTGGTTCAAATTGAGTATTTTTATGATATGAGTGGAGTTGTGGAGTCAACATTATCTTTTCATTTATTTACTAGCTGTCCGGTCTGGCTTCTCAGGGTTGCTGTACTCATTTGAAAAGAATAAGATATTTGTTGTAGTTGTTCTGAACTATGAGCGTATCTACAGTACATATTTTTTTGTTAGTTTTTAAATTTCTTGTGCTTACCTATAGCTACTATGATACACTTACCAATTTTCATTATTTCAGTATCATGTATTTTTTGTTTGTTTTTTTTACGTATTACGTCAAGCCATTTAGTAGTTGATGTACCGATAGCAGCGCCACCTACCGCATCCAATTGTATTTTTAAATCTTCCAGGAAACCATCGAAATATCTATATTAAATTTCGACTCAATTGGTTCAGCCGTTTAGAAGTTATGTGAAAACGATGAGTAAGGAAGGAAAATTCTTACTACCCGTTGTCCTATTACCCGGAATTAAGCATTTTCCCGCGGTAAAAAGTAGCCTATGTTCACCAGGAATAATGTCGGCTTTTAATGGTGAAATAATTTTTCAAATCGGTCCAGTAGTTTCAATACAAACAAACAAACCAACAATCAAATCTTTCCTCTATAATATTAGTATAGATTTATTCAAATTACTTCCAGTGAGAAACAAGTTCTGGTATAAGTATACAATTATAATGAATTCATAAATATCATAATATTTAAATTCATTATATATTGGATGTGTACAAATAAATTTATATTGGTGAACAAAAATCTATTAATAGGTAATAAATATTGGATTCTTTGAGTTTATATTTGAATTTGATTATATTGCTGCGACTTTTATATTATCGGATAATTTATTGTATTCGGCCTGGGTGAATCTTTTTGTCCTATTGAAGAGATAGTAACATCAAGATGAAATAATTCATGTTGTCTTACATTCTTACATTCATGACCAGGCAGATCCTAGAATGGAGAAAGATGTGGATTTTACAGTGAACTGTAACCTCTAGGGGTGAGCCACAATAGACCCGTCTAGGGTAACCTACATTTATGATATTGTATGAAATCTTGATTCTTACAATTTTGAACAATTCTTCTAATGAGAATGTTTCTGTTATTTTATATAATTGTATGTCTTTATATTATAATTCAGATATTTTATTGAAATTGTTTGGACAGTATCCCCAAACATTCATCAAATAGTTGATGTGACTAAGTATATGAGATGAAAGGATTATACTTTCAACTTTTTCATCGACTTTGGGACATCTTCTCAGGGAGATTATTTTTCATCAATACTTCCACATGTTTGTCCCACTTCAATTTATCATCAACCAAATCTCAACATACTTTTCTTATTAGTTTGTTTCAATTATTAATTTTTACTTTTGGGATCGAGATTTATATATTTTTCGTCCGGTAAGTCGTTTGGAAGATATAAGCGGTAAACCGGGAAAAACTCAGAGAATTTTGATGCTTTTCGACCTGAGGCTCCTGCTACGAGGCAGCAAACTTGAGATTTGCTTCTGGCCCCTCGAAACATATGATCCTGTTGAGAAACCCTCTACCGGATTCACTTCGAAAAAATACAATTTGATCGGACTATGGTACGAGTGCATTTGTGGAGTCAAAATCTGAACCACACAATCAACCATTTCCAGTTGCTGCGGCAAGTCTCGATCAAACTATCCCAAAGCCTAGCCCAGCTGATGGTCGCCGACACGGGCACCACCGGCCAAGCGCAGGCCCTCTTCAACCAGGCGCTCAACTGGGAGCTGCCCGACCTGGCCACCACCACGGCCCTGGTGCGGCTGGTGTGGGCGGCCAGCAGCAACAACCTTGGCGCCCTGAACGCCACCCCGGAAACGCTGCACGCCCTAGCCGACCCCACCAACAGGAAAACCATCGAAGTGGTCAATGACGACGTGCTGTTGTGCAAGGAGGCGCTGGAGCTGCTCAGCACGGCGGTGGTGCTGAACCCGAGCAGCCTGGAGCATCTGTACCAGGGCAACTGGTGGCCTTATTTCATCACGGACTTGGTTCTCATCAATCCTACGTGCGCGATTCGGATTGCAGCAGCCGAGCAGCTGATTATCATCTGCACCTGTGGGGCTGCCAGTCATATGGCCCTGCAGTTCATCACTCCCTTGCTGTTTTCTCTGCTCAATACCTTGGTCATTGAGAATGCGAACACTTCTCACGAGTTTTTTCAGTTGCTCTGTAGGCTGGTTAACATGGCTTACCTCACCGGGTATCCCATAGCGGGGGTGGAGACTTTGCTGGCGAACGAGGTGGCTTGGTTGCGCAAGGCGAGAGACAAGCACGAGGTGAGTTATTTTTTATCTTTGAGATTTTTATTTATTTATTTCTTGCATTGCATCTTTCAATATTGGAATTTGATTGATTGTCATTATTATTCCAAGAAACATAGTTGTGCTTAAAATAGGGCATATATTATACGTACAGGTATGAAATTAATAAAACAATAATGATAATCATGCAATTCCAAACTTATTCATTATAAGTATTCAAAATAAATATATGAAGGAATGAAATGAATAATCAGGCAGGGGTGATTGATAACTGATATTTCGAAAACGGAAAAAAATATCCAAAATTTGCAAAAAAGCCCTGAATGAGATGTTGTTTCCTTCCAGTGGGACAGGGCCACAAAAGCTTCCATGGTATTCATTTTGCAAAAATGCTTTTGTTTAGCTTTACACCCATAATAAAATGAAAAAAAATCTAAATAGATACAGTGAATGTCATGACTACCCTACAAGAAGGCGAGCCGATTTTCTTTTGCATCTAGGTGCTGATCGAAGGTTATACTATGCTATACTAAGCAATAAAATATTTTGCAAAAGGCTTTCGTTTTGCTTTACACCCATAATAAAATGAAAAGAAAAAACTAAATAAAAACAGTGAATGTCATAATACCCTACAAGAAGGCGAGCCGATTTTCTTTTGCATCTAGGTGCTGATCGAAGGTCACCTGCTGCTGGCCAAGGAGCTCTTGGTGTTCACCACCGAAGAGCAAAAGTGCGAACTCGGGTGCGCCGAGTCGGGCAGCTTGCTGAAGGAGCTGTTGGAGGACTTTCTCTTCCCCGCCAGCAAGCTGATGCTGCAGCTGAGCAAGACTGGGCAGCTGGGAGAGGATCCGGCGATCCCGATTTGCGATACGCCGCAAACTCAGGCGGCCGCCTTCGATTTGCTGATCGCGCTCTGTCTGAACTGCGTGCCGAATTACAAGCAGTTGGTGGACATGTTGACGGAGATGTTTTATTCAGGTCGGTTTTTTATTTTTATTGGCTGTGTATTTGATTTAGTTGTTGGGAATTTTTCTCAATCTTATAAAACAATTCAGTTATTTTAGCGCTTTCTGAGTAGACAACCATTTGCCCACCTTTTTGTATCACTTGAAGCTTCATATACCTACAAAAAGCCACAATCACACATCCTAACTATGAGAATCAACAATAATTGATAGTTGTGGTGGTCATACCACAATATTAATGATTTTAATATAATAAATTCTCTGAAGGAAGTTGTCAGAAAAAGATTATTTATTGATTGAAAACAACATGTCAAAATCATTGCCATGCCATGTGATAAAATACAATCTTGATCTTCATTACGATTCAATACAGGGTGGAATAAACTGGTTTCATGTATGGTAATCGACCATTCGTGATAATGTGATGTTTAATTGAATGTTTAAGTGGAGTTGAAAAATCTGGTTCTGAAATTAGTGAAGGGTATTGTTTTAAAAGTTCTAAATATTTGTTATTCATAGCAAATATTTTGGGCGATGGTGAAAATGTTCTGAGATAAACTGCATTCACTGATAATGTAGTTTTAGTATCTACTAGTCGTCTATTTTTGAGATCAACTAATAGACCAAAATGCGATAAAAAATCTGCTCCAAGAATAGGACGTGAAATCGATGCTACTGTAAATATAAAAGGAAAGTCTCGATGTAATCCTAAATTTATATTTAAAAATTTCTTTCCGAATGTAGTTATTGAGGTACCATTAGCTGCTGTGAGAAAAGTTTCGCTGTCTTTATGGAAATCAGAAAATACGTCCTGTGGAATAATAGATACATCTGCTCCTGTGTCTACTAGAAAATTCAATTTATTTCTGGAATCAAATATGAATAAGCGACGATTGTAGTTATTGTGACCATTATTAGTCGCTATAGTAATAGTCTTTTCTAGTTTTTTGAATGATCTGTCAAAGTATGGTTAAGGGGACACCACGTACCGCCACATTTATTAGCTCTGTCACTGAATCTCTGGTGATAATAACAGACTGATGAATTTCTATCAAAATTAAATCTGGTAGGTGATCTACTCTTACTACGATAACGATTCCTACATGATCTACATAGAATGTTTGGAGAATTGAAATTTGAGTTTTGAATTTGGAAAATTTGATTTTGCAAAACGTTCAATTGACCATCAACTGCCTGTTGTTTTTGTGTTAATAGATCTAATGTCTGAGTGCATTTAATGGATAAATCACTGAATGATTTCAATATGGTTTGATTAATTTGGTCGGCAGAGTTAGATGATAAGTTTGTGTGTTGAACTGTAGTCGTATTACTGTGTGGTGGATTATTGATTATGGAAATGTTGGAATCTTTATAAGTGTCCCAAATTTGATCAGCAATTTCCAGAATTTGGTCAATATTCGTTTTTCCGGAAGTTGTAACTGCAACTGATATAGTCTTTGGTAAATGTCTCTTCCATAGTTTGAGTAATAACTCCTGAGTAACCATAGAAGAACCTCCAACAATGGATATCATGCTCCTATAAAATTCTGATGGTTTCTGATTACCCATCTCAACACTGGAAAGTAAAACATCTAAGCGTTTCTCTTCACTAGCTGTTAATCTTTGAATGATTTTTGTTTTGAGATTGTTGTACATATTATCAGGTGGTGGATGTTCAATAACATCGTAAATGTTGGAAATGATTTCGATTGGAAGACTAGCCACTACGTAATCATATTTTGTACGATCTGAAGTTATTCTGGCTAACAAAAATTGAGACTCAGCTTGATAGAACCAAATTTCAGGTTTTGTAGTCCAAAATGGTGGTAACTTAATGTTATAGGCCGAAATGTTTGGTTGAATCTGGTTATTGATAGGATTTTGAGGTGACAAATTTTCTGATTGTATATCAGGCATTTTAAAGACAGTTATTATTATTGAAATTGATCGCAGTGGAGGAAATTATGACACTCACTTTTTCTTCTTTTCCGGATCTGGATTTGTTCTGGATCGGTAGCTCTCGGGTTGATTTGGGTCTGCGTAATTTTGAAAAGGACAGGAACAGTTTGGATTGTGAATTGTAGTATGATATCGGGATCAGTTCTATCGTTTGGATTCGGTCAATATAGTTCAGTTTCAGGATCTGATGTGTGGAATTCGGGCTTGGAATTCGGGTTCAGCATTGATGTCCGTTTTGGATTCAGAAGTGATGTTTGCTTGAGTCGGGGTCACCAATTTGTGGTGGTTATACCACAATATTAATGATTTTAATATAATAAATTCTCTGAAGGAAGTTGTCAGAAAAAGATTATTTATTGATTGAAAACAACATGTCAAAATCATTGCCATGCCATGTGATAAAATACAATCTTGATCTTCATTACGATTCAATACAGGGTGGAATAAACTGAAAGTATGCCACAATAGTATTTCCCTCATAAACAATAGCCATATTTTTATATTTTGTTTGATCGTCATTTTCATCTCTCCCTTTCTAATGATCAATTGTACAGGGTGGCTGGAAGCCTCATCATTGGAATCTCGTAAACCGTAAGAGATACAGGGTCGGTTAAATTATGGCAAAGTTGCGCAATTTTATGCCTAACAAAATACCGTTTTGAAACTTGGAAAATCCCGAATGCTTCCGGAGATATCCGGAAAAACACGGAATTTCCTAAGGCCTACTTCACTTTTTTGTCAAATTATTTGAAAAAAACTAATCCAAATGAATGCCAGTTTAACTTGGCCACTTTTTCGTCCCTACAATTCGACGTTTTCGAATTAGAAATCCGACGTTTCATCTTCCAGGAACCATCAACTTATTTTTGTAAATAGGTACCTATAATCAACAATAATGCCACGGTAATTTTCAAACGGCTAAAAATTTACCGCGAGTAAAAACTGACGTCACGATTCCATAAATAGGGACATAACATAGCATGTGGGATATAGAAGGAATTCATTTTTGAATATTCATTGGCGAATAAATACATTTTGCTTAGTCTTGTCACAACAATCCTTTCGAGGACCCTTTGCAAGATAACCCGGCGATTACCATTCACCCCTGATTTATAGATTCAATGACGTAACGTTACGCAAGTACTTCCATTACTGGATAGAAGATAAAACATTGGATTTTTCCAGTACTGTTTATACAATATCGTTTCCGCAAAACACTGATTATGGAACGTCATGCAGAAGGGAAGTTCGGTTTATTGTTCGATTTACATTAGGAATTAATTAGTGGTATTATATAATTATTCTACATACAATATTGATTAAGGAGTCCTGAGGAGCCTCATCGGGTATATTATTTCATTTTATATAAGTCTAACAGGTATTACAAAAATAACAATGCCATCAATTGAGGTTACTACTTGGAATGAGATTGCACGGATATTATACGGATTATAAATATATCTGCTTTCTTCAATTTATTAATTAATTGATGATGAAGTAATTGATGCAAACTGTTCTTGGGGGGAGATCATGTAAGTTACCTATTTGTTGCTTTTTGGTTTTGTAGGTATTAAATCAGGAGCAGATAGTTGCCAAGATTCAAATCCATACGAGTACTTTTGAAAACTTGTTGGTGTTAGGGATTGTTCTCATGGACAAGATAGGCAATAGCTTGAAGGAAACCTTTAGATTTTCAATACCTACCTATTCAAAGAGGTCCCATCTTTAACCGACATTTCCGATTTGCGAAAGCTATTGCTGCAAGTTGTTTTCTTTTCTATTTTTCTGCAAGAAATATTGATATGTGTAACTTGCAGCTTATTGGAAAAAGGCATCGTTCAAATATTCAGCAAAAGGTTCATTTGGAATTTTTACACTGGATGGAGAAATATTTTGTGGCAGGAAAATCTTTGCTTTTGAAATTTTTACGTGTCCACTGCAACATCTGAAAATAGTGTCACGAGTAGAACACACGGTCTATTAGTAATTTCGAACCATGATGGTTTTATAAACATGAAGTTAATCAAATCATCCGTTGACATTGAATTATGAAAACTGACCAAGGAACTCTCATGAGAAACGTGCGAATCTGATAAATTGATGTATATAAATATTGGATGTGAGGGTTCCGAAGTTAGTCTGGTCTGGGACTACTCTTGACTTGACAAGAGCTCGTCGTGATGGTCGTTATAATGTAAGTTGTTATTAGGTGTTTATATTCATTGTTGATTATTCATATTTGTCATTGCTACCCATAATGTTTCATGCTTCATTAAATATTGTTATGTTTGAATATAGTCTCGTACTTTCAGTTACCCCTAAACTATTAGTGCCTATTCGAATATTACCTCTCGCAAACTATTTAGCCAAGCAAACCTCTTATAAATCGATATGGATGGACTAACCATCTAATATATCGTGACAATATGAAAGATGTAGATCATCTTCAGAATCTGAAGAATTTACAAATAATTAATTTCTTACCGACGCGGGACATTGTGGAAAAAAACGTGCACTTTCAAGGTCGCAACTAAAATGCGATTCCTGGAGCGGATATACAATAAATGCGTACTTCACAATCATGTCGTACGGTTTTCAACCTAGTAAAATCATATTTTGACCCTTATAACGAGAAAATTAGGAAGTCACAATTGTGTCTGTCGTTCGGGAGCGTAAGGGGTATGGTATCTATAAATCAGCCACAAATTCACCTCTCCAGATCCGGAAACCGCGATAACCGAGTGGGACTACCTTCCCGGAGTTGGTCCGCGACCCTTCCAAGGCTTCGTCGGCCTCAAGAACGCCGGCGCCACCTGCTACATGAACTCCGTGCTGCAGCAGCTCTACATGGTCGACAGCATCAAGGAGGGCATTCTGGCGGCCGAGGGGGCCGCCACCGATCCGCACGAGGACTTCACCGGCGAAGACCGGCCGGATTCGGACGTGGACTGCTCGGACGACAAGAGCTGCGCGGACGACAACAGGAAGGACTACAACGTGGGGATTCTGAAGCAGGTGCAGGCTATCTTCGGGCATCTGGCCTGTTCGCGCCTTCAATATTACGTGCCTAGGGGACTTTGGAGGCATTTCAAACTTCAAGGTGAATAATCACTGCATAAGAGGTATTGTAGTGCTATTCAGCGAAACTCTAACGTTGCACAATAATTAGGTCGATATTTGAAATAAGCGAACAAAGTACAACTGAAGTGCATTAACTGAAGTGCAATGCACTTCCACCTCAACATAATCGGTTATTATAATCAATTGGACAATAAACCAGATTCTATCGTCAACCGTCTTTGGGTCAACATCAAAACTCACCATCACCAAAATCAACACTACATACAGGTATACCACTCAAATTAATTTCATCCTATTTAGAGAACAGACAGCAATCTGTTCTTGATGTTGATGCTGATGACGAACTCCTAAAATCTGACAAAATGACTATTGTTAGAGGTGTGCCGCAGGGTTCAGTACTAGGGCCTTTACTATATATTCTTTACACTAATGACCTTACGGAAGTTACCACAGGAACAATCGTCCAATATGCAGATGACTGTTCACTAATACTCAGCTTGGACACTCAACACTTACTACAGAACAATCTCTTCTCGACATTCAATATATTAGAAAACTACTTCAGTGAAAATAATCTTGAATTAAATAGCGATAAAACTCAAATAATGAGTTTATCTAGAAATAACTGCCATAGAAAACTCAATTGCACTGATTGTGGCGTACTTACTTTAGACACTGTCTCAAAATGTCCTTTCTCGGTATTATAATAGTTTCTCAGCTTGACTGGAAGGATCACATTGATAATCTTGCCATAAATTTATCAAGATTCTGTTATGCACTAAGAGTAATATCTAGAAATATAAGTATTCAAGCAGCGATGCTGGTATACAACGCTTATGTTCAAAGTCGCATCAGATATGGTATAATGTTTTGGGCAATGGCAACTACTGTGAGTAAAATATTTGTATTACAAAAACGCTGTCTGAGAATCATTTTCGATATAGCTAGAATCGACAGCTGTAAGTCACTCTTCATAGAGAAGAAAATACTGACTTTAGCGTGTCTTTCCATTTACGAAGGTGCAGTGTTTATACATGAAAATATGGCACTCTTTAATGGGCAACTCAGAACGCAAACACCGAATATAAAAACCAACCTATCATATATTTAGAGGAATGTTCCTTATTCTATTAATAGCATCTACAATAAGCTTTCAAAATCATCATTATACTTTGTCTTTCTGCAGTGTGATTGGTCAGCTCAAGAACCATAGAGGTGTTGGGGCTAATACGTCACACCAGTCACACCAATGAATGAAGGCTAACATTTTCAGTCTCACCAGTGGGCGTTACTAAAACGTGAGGTCAATGTCAAAGTCAAAAATCCCAACATTTTGCCGGATAACCCTAAAGGGTGTGCCCTGTTTTATCGAAAATATTCGGAAAAACGAATAGAAAGCCTCAAGTTTTGGAAAGACTTGAACAGACATACGTTGTTTTTTACTCAATTTGGAATTTCACGAGCAATTCTCACATTGACGGAGAAGAAGGAATTGTAGGAAGAGGCCAAATGACATGAAGTATATTTATCAGTTCTACCAACTCTGACCTCACGTATTTGTGGGAATAAATGATGTTACACAGGAGGTGTGTGTTTTGAAATGAACATACTTTCACAAAATACATGGATTTCAATTTATTTCTTTCATCCTAGTATGGATGAAAAAATCAAAATTATATTTACTGGTAGCTCACGACCATGTCGTTTTGAAAAATCAATTTTGAAAAATCAGTAGTCTTCCTCATTGGAAAATATCAATTATCTACGAATTCTTCTACAACTCTTCAATAGCAACATATGGGAGAGAATGGTGTATTAGACAACCGTGTGGGAGAACGCCTGTACAATTCCATAGCAGTCTTTATAACTTAATTATTGTGAAGTTGCAAATATTGGGCGTTTTAATTGCTGTTTGCACTGAAATGGTTGGTGCTGATACTGAAAATCGTATCCTGATAGACAGCAACCTGACCATAAACCACATCTAATCGTACTATTATTGTGGTCAATGTCAAGTCAGTTCCATTATAGATTACATAAAGAAATGAGTCATTTTATTTCAATTTCTCATTTTCTCACTTCTTTTGCTGGAAAAACATACGGAATTTTCCGTGAGTTGATGTAATTCACTGACAAATAATTGTGCAATCCTTTTTTTTCTGTGTAGCTAACATACTATTGCCCATGGAAATATCAAATGAAAAAATAATATTTTACAAAACAATAAGCACTTCTATTAGTTAGTTTAATTATCAATTATTGACATTGTTGAATTAGGAGTAACAAATCAAAAACATCCAACAGTCAGAGTTGATATGAATTCCCTGCGATCGCATAATATTCGATTTATTTTATTTAGCAACAAGTGAATGAGACAATAGACAATCTAAAAAACATTCGGCATTTAGGAAAAAAACAATTGCAATCAGTATTCGTGACACAAATTTTTGCATAGATGTCAGGAGGATATCATTCAATGTTCTGCGTGGCATTAGCCTGGAGAGCAGTTGTTTTTCTCCCATCATCTACTATAATTATTCATTATTTGAATAATGAACAATAATAATAATAATTATTACAATAACATAGTGGTCATATATAAAAAAAAACTAAAATTGTGTCCTAGGTGAGCCAGTGAATCTAAGGGAGCAACAAGACGCCGTCGAGTTTTTTATGTCATTGGTGGAGAGTCTGGATGAAGCTTTAAAAACATTGGGACATGAGCAAATCATGGCCAAAATATTGGGTGGCTCCTATTCAGATCAGAAGATCTGCAAGGGCTGTCCGCATCGTTATTCCAAAGAGGAACCTTTTAGTGTGATTAGTGTAGATATAAGGAACCACAGTAGCCTGCCAGATTCTATGGAGCAATATGTCAAAGGTAATATTTGAACAATAATTAGAATCTTCTTATTTTTACTGGATTATAAAAATGTTCTTGGATTATAAAAATAAAAGTCAAACAACAGGGGGTTAAGGGTTAAAAAAATTAGGAAATTCGATGGAAATATTCTGTTCCTGGGTAATGTTGAAATGTGGTCTACTCATATTTCCAAAAACCAATCAGAATCGGTCGTTTTCACGTTTTTTTTTTCAATCAACTTCCATCCTAAGAAGACGTTTCCACTTAGTGGAATGTATTGGACTTTATTGTTAAATAATTTGTCTTTAATATTTGTTCATCTATCTGTAGTATGAACAGTTATGTATCTTGAGGTGATAAAGATAATCAAATACACCACAACTGGAGCAAACGCACCAAAACAGTGAAATACACGTTGTTCAGAGTACCAACATTTGTGTTTCAAGAGGTCAAGTAAGGTTCTTACTCTTTACAATCTTGTTTCTTGTTGTCAAGTTTACAAAATAGTTCATGTTATCGATGATATAATCAGCTTGAAGCAATTGCAGTCCACCAACTATCAGTTAGAATTCACATTAAAATAAAAAAAAATTGAGGAAAGAATAAAACGGATAAATGTTCAGCGGGTATGATACCTGACAAGAGTTTTTATATTTTAAAATTTGTATATTTCATACATCATGAAAGAATGCCTTTGCAAAATTTGTGAGTAAAAAACTGTCATTACAATTGCCTTATATTTCAGACAAAACATTAACATGTGTATGGAATAAAAAAATATATTAACAATAATCAACTGTGATATTGAAAAAGAATTCTAAAAACCTAGTGGTAAGAGGGGAGAGAGGAGAGAGGAGAGATTAACAAAAATGTATTGTTGGTTGATAGTTTAGTGTCGCATTTTTGGTGTTTTAATCCAGCTAAATAAATTATAATATTATTATATTATGATTATAAATCATGTAATACTATACTGAATATCATTCTCCTATTTTTTTCTAGGTGAACTGTTAGAAGGTGCTGACGCATATCATTGTGAGAAGTGCGCGAAAAAAGTTCTGACTGTAAAGCGACTCTGTGTTAAAAAATTACCCCCCATCTTGGGCATCCAATTGAAGAGGTTCGAGTACGATTTCGAGAGGGTGTGTGCCATCAAGTTCAACGATTACTTCGAATTCCCGCGCGAGCTCGACATGGAGCCCTACACCGTATCGGGTCTGGCGAAGATCGAGGGAGAGATTATAGACTGTGATTTAGATCCTAGCGCTAGCGATGTATGTACAAAGTATCGCTTGTCCGGTATCGTTGTTCATTCTGGTCAAGCTTCAGGTTAGTGGATGCTTACTGGACCAGAAGATTCTATTTAACGGGTATAATTTAGAATGTAGTAGACCATCTCAATCGTCAACAATAACAGAACTAAAAATATTCAAGGTTATGAAAGAAGAAGAAAACAAGATTCATATCTTACTGCTTCAGTAAACCTTATAATTTGGTTAACAAATAAAAGGTTCATTAACTGAACAGACAAATCGTTCTTGTAGATCTAGTCTTATCATACAATCCCAACATATACCAAAATGAAGCAGATCATGGATCAAGTCTTTAGTCTATTTATTTTCTTCACGTAGAGACAATATACTACGTTCCAAATAAGAATACAGTAAGTGACGCTTCCTCTGAAGGAATCTTGACACTTATGACATAAATAATAGTGCCTAATTTGAAATCATGGTCATTCTAATGATTGAATTTCACTTTGAGATCGTGTTTATTTTCAGGATTTATTGTAAAATATAAAATATACAACAAATAAATGGAAAAGTAAAAACTTTACAAACGATAAGATTTCAGATTTTTTTCGAGTCACGTCACATGTCATAATATTAGTCATGTGTAATATTGCCACTGATATTAACCAATCAAAGTGAAGGTCAACACTTCCCTATGGTTTCCAATGCTGTCTGCTAAGTTGGAATGGACTATGGGTACACAGACTCTAGTTACAATATAACGTGTGTACAGTTAATTTATAATCATTGTGTTAAGAATTGTGATATTTGGGATTTTTTGAATTTATACCAACACAGGAATTATGAATTCTCTGGAAATGTATAAAATATAGAAAGTTAAGTGATATTTGTGAGAGTATGGTATTTGGTGCCATCAAAGTACCCAAATTGACCAACTATTTTCTTATAATACAGTAATTATTAAAGTGAAATTCATGGATTTTATTATTCAGTAACATATTATCTACCAAAGTATCATAAAAAGAGGCGTTGAATAACCCAATAAAACTACGATTCAAAATTCATGAAATCCTGTTCAACATACGCCATTGTTTTTTGGGGTTATGAAGACAATCAATTACTAACAGATACCTCAGTTTTCCAATTTCTTCATTTCAGGCGGTCATTATTATTCGTACATTCGAAGTAGAGACCTGTCGGGCGAATTGAGATGGTACAAATTCGATGACGGCGATGTGTCGGAATGCAGGATGGGCGAGGAGGAGGAGATGAAAGTCCAATGCTTCGGCGGCGATTACATGGGCGAAGTATTCGATCCGATGCTGAAAAGGACGACTTACAGGCGGCAAAAGCGATGGTGGAACGCCTACATGCTGTTTTACACTAGGCACGACATTGAGGAAGAATCGGTGTTGAAAGCAATCAATCAATTGACAGTTTGTAAGTAGCAACGTTCATTTTATCATTTCAGAAACGTTCATGTCTTTGCTTCTGCTGCTTTGTATCGGTGGAAGCTAGGAAGTTCCTTATCGCTATAAATTGAAGTGGGTGTTAATAGCCTCTGTATATTTCCAATCTACGGCTATGATTGATTTGACAGAAAATGTAACCTCTAAAATCGTATCTTATCTGACAATTAGGCAATCCAACGACCTGTCAAATAATTTCAAAATGGCGTCTGGTTGGCAAATAAACCAAAGACAAGTTTGTTTACTTGAGAACTTTGTGGGTTTTGGAAGCCTCTTACAGTATTATTTTATCGAGTTTCGGCTAGATTTATTGTGAATAATGAAAACTCAGTATGATTTCAAAGAAAAAATTGCCAGTAACGTGAATTGTGGTGGATTGTGGAAGCAGTGCAGATCGGGACCATTAGCTGTTTTGTCACATTCCTACTGTGATACTGTGAAAAACTCTGAGCATTACCCACAGATGAAGAATTTCTCAAGAAAAATTAGGGAAACGTGGATAGCAGCCATCAAGAGAAAGAATCAGCAACAGAATCAATCATAATAAACCAGAGGATATGTGGCAGACACTATTTTCATAACAGGTACCTAAGAAAAAAGATTTTAATATTATTTATATGTACCTACCTACTCTAGAACTGATGAGTTTAGTGTTTCATTCTATGGAAAACTTATCTTTTTTTCATTTTGATAAAATAAACCAATACTCATTACTTTTGATGGTCCTACATAGTTTGGAAACATCATGTTTCTAATACATAAATTCATCATCTACCTTATTGTAGGAGAACGTAGTGCCTGAAAGATGAGAATATCCAGCTTGGGTCCCATTGCAATATAGTATGGGTCATCAATCACTTGTCCATTCGAAATGCAAGACTGATGTGGATCAAAAACTGAGAGACCTGGTATGTTCTCAAGAAAACACCTGATTACCTAATACTACTACTACATCATTTTTCATTTATTTTAGTGTAATGAAGAAAGTGTCCTGGGAGATAAAGAAATAGAAGAGAAAATTGGTGAAAACAAGGTGAAAATCTACAAGATTATAATTACTTTTACAAATTACAGTCTGTTGTGATTTATTTTTATCAATTATAAATGTAAGACAAATAAAGTAAGTATATCAAAATAATTGTAATATTCATTAAATGAAAAATACATTGTATTATTCTACTATATTACAAAAGATCTACATTAGTCATGAAAAAATCTTCATAGAACATTATAGTTATTCAGTGATCTGATTGAAACAATAATAAACAATATTTGAATGATATATTTATTATGAATAGGTACATATTTCTTTATAGAACTTGTTGAATCAGAATTCACAAAACCATGCTGATTCTGGTGTACCTAAAGTATCTGCACATTTAAAATAGAACCATACAATTTCCCTTTATCACTGTCTCAACTAGTCATAGGGGTTCCATCATCAGCACTTGATCACTTACACTAATAGTTCACTTCTGGTGAAATTAATATTCACCCAAAAGTCCAGGTATTATAACTTTGGCATGAAACTTCAAAGCAATTTGTGAATGTTGTTCCCAAAAAACACGTTTCTCTGGACATTGAAGATATAGTAGGGATTTTGTATTAAACCATTCAGAGCAACTGTACCTATGTCCATTTCTGCTATTGGTATGATGGGCACAATCATGGTGAGAGTGGTGGCATGGGTCACAAAGCACATACATCAGTACATGAAACTGTTCCTTATTTACTTGCCCAAGCCTCAAGTTACTTATTAGCACAGAATCTGATTGTGAATATTTTACCTAAAAAAAATTGCATAAGATATACATGAATATGAGGTAGGAAATATATTTAAAAATATATGAATAACATAATTTCATCATTCAAAATGTTCCTATCATGAAAGGTATTTAGGTATAAAAGTAAAAAGTTACCTTTCCATCTATGACATGAAAATCATTCATCTTCCTGTCTACTTCCTGGACAAAAGTTGCTGAAAAATACTTGTGAACAACAAGGGTTTTGAATGCTTTCATTTGCTCATGAGGGTAAAAACTGTGGGTCACTATAAATAGCAGCAGTTTCAGAGGTGGAGGGCTTCAAATCCTTGAACAACATCAGCTTCCTCAGATATCTACAAACAAATTATGGTTGTATGATAGTTTCAGAAATGAAAATTTACTGGTTAGTTGAGAAAAATAGCCGAAAAAACAATAAATATTCATATTTACCTCTGACCAACCTCTGGGTTTTCCTGCAATAACTTCTGGAAATATGAACTCAGCATATTGAAGCACTGTTCAATTCAGCTCCGAGACTCCCTCAATCACCTGACACATAAAACTACCAGAATAATAGGGTCATTCGGGCAAAATACAATTTAATTACAAGTGATGTATAATCTTTGTTTGCCAACCAGACGCCATCTTGTCAGCTAAAATGTCACGTGGTTTGGATTGCCTAATGGGTTGCGTGCAAGAACTGTCAGACAACCGACGCTGGAGGCAAAACATTGACACTTTTCTTATTTGTTTACAAGTGATCGAAATAGTTTTTCACAATTATTTTGGCATACGAATCGTATTTTTCCGCTATTCATCAATTCGCTCATGCCATCACATTATGCTGTTGTGAAATGCACAAAAACTGCAGCTGAAGACGAAGTAATCCGGTTGGTACAATATGATTTAAAAGTAAGTACCTACTATACTCTCACTCACATATAGTTTTCATTTTTGAAATTTGATAATTTCTCTGATTTCTCATCGGAGTTCCTTCTGCGATAGGAGCTAATATAAATACACCTGAAATTTCTGAAACAATGCAAGAAGATTGGATTCATGTAAGATTATTCATCGCATTCATCATCAATCCGGAGGACTGGTCTGACATGCTGACGATCGTGTGTGTTGTAGACATTTTCAATCTATTAGCAGTATTAGCTTGTATTGCATAAGTGGCAGAAGGCAGAAGGAATTTTGATAAGGAATGACGACATTTCATAATGATAACTATGTGAGATTACTATTTACCTGAAAAATCATATTCTTTAGTCTCTTGCTGCATTTTTTGTGCATTGTACAACAGCACAATGCGAAGGCATGCTCGAATTGATGAATAGCGCAAAAAACACGATTCGTATGCCAAAATATTGTGAAAAACTATTTTAATCCTTTGATTCTTCTGTAACCACATAAGAAAGTGAGGTTGTGTTTCAATAATTCACAGAAGAATGAGGTTGTGTTTCAATATTTTGCCTCCAGGGTCGGTCATTGTGCACGCGACCTATCAGGCGCTATGGGTTGCGTGCAAGAACTGTCAGATGACCGACCCTGGAGGCACAACATTGAAACACAACCTCACTTTTCTCATTTGTTTACGTGATTTAAGTGATTGAAATAGTTTCTCACAATTATTTCGGCACAGGAATTGTCTTTTTCGGCTATTCATAAATTCGCGCATGCCTTCACATTGGGCTGTTTTACAATGCACAAAAAATGCAGCGAGAGATGAAGGAATCCGGTTGGTACATTATGATAAAAAAGTATGTACCTGCTATAGTCACTCAAATATAGTTTTCATTATGAAATTTGCTAATTTCTCTAATTTCTCATCGGAATCCCTTCTGCAATAGGAGCTAATAGAAATACTTGTGAAATTTCTAAAAGAATGAATGAAGATTGGATTCATGCAATGAAACGGGAGGACTGGTCTGACATGCTGACGAAATATGATTGTGTGTGTTGTAGACATTTTCTATTAGCAGTATTATAGCTTCTATTGCAGAACTATGTGAGATTACTATTTACCTGAAAAACCATATTGCTTCATCTCTGGCTGCATTTTTCGTGTATTGTACAACAGCACAATGAGCAGGCATGCTTGAATTAATGAATACCACAAAAAACACGATTCATATGCCAAAATATTGTGAAAAACTATTTCAATCCTTTGATTCCTCTGTCAACAAATAAAAAAAGTGAGGTTGTGTTTCAATATAGCCACCTTAGTCTTACAGAAAAGTTTTTCTCCAGGGTCGGTCATCGTGCACGTGACCTATTAGGAAAATTGAAAAGACAAAGAGCAGAATATATGTCTTATTCTCTTATTCATTCAAGCATTGTAATTTAGAAAATTGAAAAGGACAGAAGTTCAGCTGTGTTCGAACTCTTATCTACTAATACCATCCAGTGACTCTAATCTCAGCTACACCCTTATGACCTTCAAAATCGTCAGTAGAAAACTGAATTTCACAAGAATTCATCTCAAGGCAACTTCCTCATTGGCATTGTTTAGCTGGCACGAGGAAGGAGACCCACCTGAAGATGCCCGTCGCCATCGAGAACAGCATCAGGAAGCAGAACATCAAGTTCCTGCACCACCGCAGCCAGTTCTCGCTCGAGTACTTCGCGTTCGTGCGCAAGATGGCGACGAGCTGCGCGCAGGGCAACCCGCGGCACGGCCAGCCGCTGTCCAACGAGCTGCTCGAGCAGCAGTATTTGCTGAGCGTGCAGCTGGTCAGCAATTTTCTCTTTCACACTGGCTGGCACACGAAGAAGAATTTGAGGGGGCCGGCGATGGAGTGGTGAGTTGACCGCGTCATGATTGTAAGGAGACGCATCATAATTTATAATACTTATAATTATTATAACATTTATTTGGGCATCGTCCTAGCTTCTCAGGTAAGGCACTAGCCGTTCGATATCCTAAGTTAAGCAGTGTCAAGCGCGGTTAGTACTTGGATGGGTGGCCATTCAAGAAAACGCCGCGTAAGTCTGTACATCTGTAGCGGAATAGCATATCATAGCTAGAGTTCCTGAATGTACTTGACACTGCTGTTTTGACGTTTTTTGTATATTTGGCAATCCAAACCACGTGACATTTTAGCTGACAAGATGGCGTCTGGTTGGCAAACAAAGATTATACATCACTTGTAATTAAATTGTATTCTGCCCGAATCACCCTATTATTCTGGTAGTTTTATATGTCAGGTGTTTGAGGGAGTCTCGGAGCTGAATTGAACAGTGCTTCAATATGCTTAGTTCATATTTCAAGAAGTTATTGCAGGAAAACCCAGAGGTTGGTCAGAGGTAAACATGAATATTGATTGTTTTTTCGGCTATTTTTCTCAACTAACCAGTAAATTTTCATTCCTGAAACTATCATACAACCATCTGATGAAGATGATGTTGATCAAGGATTTGAAGCCATTCACATCTGAAACTGCTGACTGATTAGACTACCTGATAATTATACTCTCCTACTATTTATAGTGACTCACAGTTTCTACCCTCATGAGCAAATGAAGCCTACAAAACCCTTGTTGTTCACAAGTATTTTTCGGTAGCTTTTGTCCGAACTATGTAGGACCATCAAAAGTAATGAGTATTGGTTTATTTAATCAAAATGAAAAAATTATGAGTTTTCCATAGGATGAAACACTAAACTCAGTTCTAGAGTAGGTAGGTACATATAAATAATATTAAAATCCGTCTTCTTAGGTACCTGTTATGAAAATATTGTCTGCCACATATCCTCTGGTTTATTATGATTGATTCTGTTGCTGATCCTTTTTCTTGATGGCTGCTATCCACATTTCCCTTATTTTTCTTGATAGATCCTTCATCTGTGGGTAATCACAGAGTTTTCCACAGTATTACAATAGGAATATGACAAAACAGCAAACGGTCCCGATCTGCACGGCTTCCACAATCCTCCACAATACACGTTACTGGCATTTTTATCTTTGAAATCATACTGTTTTCATTATTCACAATAAATCTAACCAAAACTCAATGGAATAATACTCTAAAAGGCTTCCAAAACCCACAAAGTTCTCAAGTAAACAAACTTGTCTTTGGTTTGTTTGCCAACCAGACGCCATTTTGTAATTATTTGACAGGTCGTTGGATTGCCTAATTAGAGTACGGACACTATGACAAGCACTGACAATCAGACATAACCACAAATGAATTGATGGAAAAGGCGGGAACTGACAGTACACGGTAAACAGTAGTGTCAAGTACATTTAGGAACTCTAATCATAGCTACAGCTACCATATCAAAGAGCACAAGATATGGTACGGATATGCCGTCCTTCGGAGGGGACGTTAAGCCGGCGGTCCCGAGGCCATGGATGTTGGACTCGTTAAAGATCCCTACCTCTGGTTGGAACACCAGAGGATTCGGCAAAATTTCCGGTTGGGGGTAACGTGCTGATCGGCGTCGGTGATTGGCCTCAGTAGTAGAAAAAGGCCGACGTTAAAGAAACAATACTTAATTATTTTTGCAAATATCCCGCGATTGTTACGACGGCTTGTTGCCTAATAATTTCGCCGAATGACATTGTTTATCGAAACTTTCGAGACATAGGCGAGGAATTGAACAATGTCATGAGCGAAATTAAAGCGGCAAGCTGGAGTATGTCAATCGACGAATATTTCCAGGAAAAATGGTATCACGAGTTGTATTCCTATGGATGTTCCATGATTGAGACAATAAACGAGCGGCTTGCGAGAGTTGCGCAAATTAGAATTTTCTCTTACGTAATGCTCTTCTATCAGACTGAGCTGTGATGGCTTGAAATTTGACATTTCATAGGAGATGAGATTTTATTAAATAATAACACAATGAAAGTCATTGTGATATCAGACACGGAAATATGATTTCATACAAAGTACCTCATTGATTTATTGAACACATAGCTATAGAAAAAATATATAATAGCACAGAGCTTGTTCACAATATAAATTTAAATGAAGTAAAGGCTGTATGACACCTGTTAAATTTGATGACAAATATGTTAACAAAAATGATGACAAAAATATTTTCTCCATACAGTATAAATATTTGTGGCTATTTTGTAGTTATAAATATTTATAATATCAAAATATTTAGAACCACCTATTACCGATACGATGTTTTTACGAACTTTGTGGGCTTATATCTCAGAAACTAAGCATAAAAAAACTTTCAAGTCATATATCTTTCTGATGACCGATCCCACAACATAGTAACATTTCAGCCAATTCGTCAGAGCCATTTTCCCATGGTTTCGTCCGGGGCCCTTTCTAGCCGTTTGAAAATTACCGTGACATTATTAATGATTTAAGTACCTTAAAATCAACCGAAAAATTCTAAAAAAATATGGAATTGAAAGGAATTTGAGTGATGATTTCTAAAAAAAAAAAATCGTCCACTTGCCCATCGAAAAACTTTCGAAAACGTTTCCGAAGTTTTTCAGTTTCCATGACCTCGGCTTTGCAGGTGCGACGTCCTCTGCCTGCACCTGCGCACCTCGCCCGTCATCCGCCTCTGGTTCGCCCACCACATCCTCTTCGCGCACCCGGGCAGGTTCTGCGAGTACCTGCTGAGCTGCCCCAGCAACGAGGTGCGCTCCGCCTTCGTCAAGATCGTCGTGCTGCTGGCGCACTTCTCGATCGACGACGGGCCGTCGCCGCCCCCGGCGGGGTACGACGGCGAGGAGAGGGCGGGGGGCAGTTTGAGCGATCACATTTTGTGGGCGTTGCTGGGGCTGCTGAGGCGGGAGGTTAGCGAGCACGGCCGGCACCTGCCGCACTATTGTACGGTGTTCCACACGTACGCCAACCAAGGTGAGTGCTTCGAAAGAGTGATTTAACACAATGAACGAGTTTGAGCAGTGGACTGTATTATTTTTATTGGTTCATTAAATGAAAATTGATGGTCGGCAATGCAATGAGGGACTTACCGGTTGGTTTCAGTTTTTCTGCAGGAGTTCCTTTGGCGCTCACTTCTTTCTTCGTCCTAGCTAGGATTGAGGATTGCACACCCGCATATAGTTAACGAGACGGTAATCTTTACCGGGATCACTTGCGTCGCGAAAAACTTCTTCCCGAAGTGTCGTTTAGTACTGCTGAAAAAATATATCGGCATCGCGCTCCACCTGCGCATTTTTGTGGTATTATCCAGTACTATCTGTGAACCTTAGGTGGTTCTGAGCAGCGGCGTATCACCTCTTGGATTGCATAGATTTCGCGGGGTAAAATATATTGACAGTTAATGAGTATGTGATGGAATTGGTTTATATTTTGAAAGTACATGGTTCCTGAACACACAATAATTTATTTTTATTTATTCATTTTTAAAATAACATACATTTCAGCATACTATATTAATAGAAATTTTTTATTATAAAAACATCAAAAAAGTTGAAAACTGTAATAATAATACACACGTAATAACATAATTGTCGTCAGAAACTCACTACTAATTATTACAAACTCATTAGTTATGGTAAGGTACACAACAAATTATGAAATATTAAAAAATGAACGTAGTGGCACCGCAAAGTTTCGTAGTAGACGAGCGATAATCGTTATAAGAAACTTAATTTGTCGTATTTGTTGTTATTAATGATTTTCCGGCAGTTGTGTTTCAATATTGTCAAATCTGTAAAGAAATGTTAGTTACAAATATCGTAACCTGATATTTCACAGGTACGTTGAAATTTGATACAGTGGCAGTGTTGTTTGAGGGCTTGCTTGTGTAGATGAAAAGTGTGTTTATAATATTGGATATATCAAATAACCTCACTTAGATGTTATAAAATGAAATGAAATGTTACTATATGTGGGAGTAAATTTATTAATACACACATTCATAGAAATTCTGATTTATTGGATGTATAAAATATATTATCTATGAAAAATATTAATTCTCTAGCAATTATTCCGCACAGTTATCCCCACCATTCGAGATTTCATTCATTTATCTGTGTTTGGCGTCTTTAACGGTTTATGAATGAATCACAGTGTCTATCTATTGTTATTCAGTCTGAGCTATGGATGTATAGAAATTCAAATGGCGAAGCGTGAGAAAATCTCAATAAATTTCCGAAATTGCAAGCCTAAAGGAGGTCAGCGAGCACGGCCGGCACCAGCCACACTATTGTACGGTGTTTCACACGTACGCCAACCAAGGTGAGTGCCTTGAAAGACTGATTCATGTTGCTTATTTCTTCTACGTAAAAAGGCATTACATTCTAAGGATCTCTGTGTAATTGGTGCCATATCATGATTCAAGAGGATTTTTCAACTAAAACATCTTATTCAACTAGGTGTAAAGCTATGACAAAAAATAGAATAACCTTTCATAACGACCCAAGCCAGTTCGCTTGGTAGAATATTTCATCATAGTCAAGAGTATTGATTTATCTCGGAAGTCATTTCTTTATTTCTGATATTTGAGTATCATATCTAGAGTTTCAGTTCATGACTCCATTGATGAGGTTTCAATTTCTATGGGTAGTTTCATTTTTTATCAGAGGAATAAGTAACAAATCATCACGAGATCATAAATTATATCACTCCAACTTTGGATTGTATCCCATGTATGGTAAGACCTTGTTGGATACTGGATTCTGAAGTGTTGTGCTATGTTACAACATCAGGAAGCTTGGTAAGTAATCTGAGCTTCGATTTGTATCGATTTATTCCAGCTTCAAAGGCAGGAAGAGTCTGTTTTGTGGAAAAAAACTCTACCAATTCACAAACGTTTGACGCTGTCAGACGTTCATAAATTCACTCCAAATCTGAAGTAGAACCACAGGGACAGACTTATAAGTATGTGAAAATAGCTACATGATCTTTGGACATCGTATGTTCACAGCTAGATGCCTCATACTGCAGGGGAGCATCTTGAGATGGGGCCTAAAAAGGGCCAAATCCAGGTTCGTTTCAATAAAAGAACATCAGTAACCATGGAAGTGGTCCTAGCTACAATCACAACAAACGGTTTCCCTATAAATTTCAGAACATTTCCAACCTTTGAAGAAGCAACATCTCCAGAAATATACGGAAACCATGGAAGATTACCAGACCTCCCTCTCCGTTAGCCCGAAGGAACGGGTTGAAGAACCAGGTCCCAGTATAATATCTTATCACCTCTCAGAATTTGCCAGCTAGTCAATTTCAAATAGAGTAAATTACTCACATTATATCTTTTGGGTAATATATTGTATTACTTCGCTGTTGCTTAACCTTGACCAGTTTATCTACGTAACTCGAAGTGCTTATAGATGACAATGAGTGGTCAAATTGCTCGATGGTACTGTGGGAGCGTGTCCCCTACTTATTTCCATTCAAATTAACAGTAGGCATACTGACTTGGACGTCCCTGTGGATGTGTAAACCTCGGATGTGGGTTGCAACCACTCTTATTTAATCCCGGCAGGAGACGATCCTTTTGATATAAAGAAAAAGAAGGCAAGCCGAGCGGAATGCAAGCATAGTCTATCTCAGCAATTGATCAGATAATACCAATTAACATAATCTTTTGTTACTGAGTCTTGGTTGCGCAGTGAAGAGGGTTTGATTGCTTTTTGCTAATTCACTCAACTTCAAATCGTACATTTGCATTGTAAAAAGATGCGTGGTCAATAAATACTCTTGATTTATACTCGATTTTCATTTCTTTTCTACCTTCACAGAACTCTGTATCCACGAACTTATATAAAAAAAATACACAACGTGGGAACATGTTTAAGAGGTGTCGAATTGAATATCGATACTTCTCGAACATGATAAATACTAGACGATCACATGAAATATATAGTTCCATATTCAGACAACACCCAAATCAAAAATTAAAATAGTCTTGTTTGTTTGAAATTCAAAAATGTTTACTGAGAAAAATTGTATCTATTCTGATTTTACACGTGTCTCAAATTTTAACTTTCTATTCCAAGTTTTTGTTTCAACTCGTTATCACGTGGCGGAAGTATGTCAGAAATGACGGCAGCAGAAAAATCGCTGTGCCGAGGATTTGACACAGATTAAGGGGTGGTACATGTTGGGCTTTGAGATGTACCATTCAATTGGTACCAGATAGCATAATTCATATCTCGTAATCGAATCGCGAAATTTTGCGCAGTAAACTGTCATTTTTCAATAATTTTGCTCTGATCATATTATGTCATTTCGTTAAACGATGACAGTCAAAATTCGCAGCCGGCTCCCCTATTATACCAACAGAAAATAACACATTAACATTTTCAGATCACGCACAATCTTTCACGTCTCCAGTGATTCACTCTAGCAGTAGTTACGAAATGTATTCTCGCGTGTCTGGAAAATCCAGACAGTTATTTCCTGGGAACGGGATTTTTTCAACAAAAACCATACTGAGACCATATACTTTTTACTCGAAATGTTCAGTGAAGATTTTCTGAATGATTCCATTGTTTCTTTCAGGTATCCAAGAAAAGGCACAGCTGTTGAGAATGAACGTCCCCGCTACCTTCATGTCAGTTGCCCTCGACGAGGGCCCCGGTCCTGCCATAAAATACCAATTCACAGAACTAGGAAAATTAAATCAATTAGTTTCATGTCTCATCCGATGTTGTGACGTGAGCAGTAAATGCCAGTCGAGCAACGGACCTATTCTGCCGAACCCGTACAGAGATCCCAACTGTCCAGAGTACGTCATGCCCCTGTCGCCTCAAGCTTCTGAAATTCTCTTCAATAGAACAGCGTAAGTCCTATGAATGGAGATTTTCAGAGTTATTAAAATATTGTGGGTGTTGACTACATGCGATTTTTTGTGAAAATTGTCAATCTGTGAGTTTTCCTCTGCTATTTTTTTTATCTCTTGTACCAGTGAGGGCAATCATTTTCACTCTCACCAGTTGTCACTGCTAGAGCGTGAGGTATCTGTTGAAATAGGCTACTGAACTGATACTGAATTTTGAATTGCACTGTGCTGTTACGGAGCTGATACCATTTGGATGTGTTTTTATTGCATTTTATGAGCCAATGCGCTGTTGAAGGTTGTTGAAAATGGCCTGTTTCGAACAAACCATTATGCTATTCCGCCAACCGATATCGATAGTCAATAATATAATATAATAATAATAATAATAATAATGTATTTATTCCTTTCATTGATCATACACAAAATGATATAGGAATTGTCAAAAAAAAAAGTTGTAAAAAATTATTATGAAGAGAATATACACACATAAAAGTTGATACATTCATAGGAAAATAAAATGGGTCTAACATTCAGAACATTCAAAAACAATGATTGGAGGTAAACATTTGAAATACAATCACCTCACTTCAGATTTTTGTCTCCAGAAATTCCTTCACAGAATAGAATCTTCTTTCCAGCAGATAATCCTTCACTTTTTTTTTAATTTTGCGAAAGTTGATATTTCCTTTATATCTGAGGGCAGAGAATTAAAGAACCTCGGACCTGTTGTGGAGTGTGACTTTTGAAAAATCTGAGTGCGGTGCTTACTGCTCCTTGTAGAATAAGTACGATTATTTCCATTTGTTTCGAACTTGGATTCGTGTTTTTTCACGTAAATGACAGAATGGTAAATGTATATAGAGGGTAGTGTTAGAATATTATGTTTTTTGAAAATATGTCTACATGATTCGGTATATTTCAGACCATATATGAGTCGAATTATGCGTTTCTGGCCAATAAAAGCCCGATCAATCGTAGTACCATTACCCCACAGGAGAATATTGTAGGAAAGTACTGAGTTCACTATTGCATAATAAACATCGACAAGAATATTCACATCGAGAACTTTTTTGAGCTGCAGTAGAGCATAAAAACTACTATTATTTTTTTACATACATAGTTGATATGATGTTTCCATTTCAATTCGGTGTCTATATATACACATATAAAAACGTTGTTGTTCCCGAAGGGTGTACAGTAATATTATTAATATTCACAGAAATAGGTGAATCCGTAGCTAGCTTTCCTACCAAAAAACTGAAATAGCACAGTTTTCTCGGCATTAACTATCAGTCTATTACTCTGACACCATGCAGTAAATCTTTCACATATGTTTAGTTTGGACTGAAGTTGCACAAGGCTGTCGGCGTCTGCCGACATTGAGGTATCATCAGCAAATAATGTGATTGATGTTCCTCCGATATATTGTGGGAGATTATTAATATATAGTAAAAATAATAAAGGCCCTACCAATGATCCTTGTGGTACACCGATATCTATATCAAATAGATCTGAGTTAGAATCTTGCCATTTTTTAACGAATATTTTCCTATATTTCATGTAGGATATAATCCAAGCGAGGAATTTTCCACGAATACCTATGGTATACAGTTTATCAGCAAGTATATCGAAGTCAATGGAGTCGAAAGCTTTGATTAAATCGAAAAACAATAACGAATAACATTTTTGTCTTATACATTCAAACAAATCCATTATCGGTACAAATGAAATATTATCCGGTTGAGAAGAAAGCAACTAGGAGTATTTTCATTTTCACATAGTGAGAACCAAAAAACAAGTTAGTGTACCTCATGTCTCAGTAGGGCGATATTTCAGCCTTCATTGATGCGTCGAAATGTTTTTGCAGATATGTTAAAAAAGTCATTGAAGATACGAATTTGACGGACGACGCAATCAAACTACTCCAGTTCTGTTCTTGGGAGAACCCCCATTTCTCCAGGACTGTACTATCGGAATTGCTCTGGCAAATAGCCTACGCTTACTGTCAAGAACTCCGGCATCATATAGAAATTTTATTGTCAATACTGCTGATCGAGGATTCTTGGCAGACACATAGGATACATAATGCAATCAAAGGTAACGTTAACCCAAAATAAATACTTTAATAATATGATTTATTGGCTGTCTCAGTTTAGTTGTTCCAATAGAATATTTCCTTCATTTCTGTAGATGCAAATTTCAAATTTAGGGTCGTTTAAACATAAGGACCTTTTATTTCAGCAAAACAAAAATCAGAAGTGACTAATTTTCTGATATGGCACCATGTATATTTTTTTCAGTTTATGAATTTCACTCAAAATTACTTTTTTTGCAATCGACTTGAAAGTCGTCCATTTTTGTTCCATATTTAGCTCTTGAAGTTGACGTGACTCATTCTGACACAATAAAATGATTAGTATGTATGTTGCTAGGCAACACTTAGTATCCGAGCTAAAGCTACAGTCTACAGTTTAACTCTAATAGTGCTAATAGAACTAATAGTGTGTCGGATGACAGCTGATATGATAGTTGTTCTGACACTGAGATGCTCGAGTGATTCAATAGTGGTAACTTCACTTATATTTTATTAATTAAATATCAACATGAAAACATCCTGTAACTCGTTTGTAGGCTAAAATCACTCATTCATATGCCAACATCAGTATGACACTGAAAACTGTCAAACTATAAGCAGCACAACTTCCAAAGGGAAATATTTTGCATTTTCATGTTGAGAACGGGAGCAGATTCGGTCCCGAAACGTCCAAAGATAAGTAAAGATTCGATATTTTTTCAATATATCTATATTTCTTTCCTTCAAACATGTTTACAAACCAATTGTTACTGACAAGCTACTGGATTTTTCTTTCAGGCTCCCTGATAGAAATATTTGTTAAACGCAGTGACATTTTGGAGCAAATCATCTGATTTGTCCCACTACAAATATATTGAAATAATACGAATATTTTTATTTTATAGAAACGAGGTAATTAACAATTGTAATTTCTGTTTCTGAACTCTTTATCAAATTAATACCATCCAGTGATTCTAATAAAAGCCTCTCATTCTGATTCACATAAAAAAACTCATGTCAAAATTCGAATTCAAACTTCACCGTTCCAGGTGTTCCCGAAGAACGCGAAGGTCTGTTGGAGACGATAACGCGCGCCAAAAACCACTACCAAAAGCGCGCCTACCAGTGCATCAAGTGCATGGTGGCGCTGCTCAATCGCTGCCCGGCCGCCGCAGCGCTGCTCACGCGCCAGCCTGACGTCAGACGGCAATGGGCGGCGGCGGTCGCTTGGCTGCAAGACGAACTGGAGCGCAAACACCCGCCCAACGCGCAGCAGTACTCGTACAACACGTGGTCGCCGCCCGCGCAGAGCAACGAGAGCTCGAACGGCTACTTCCTGGAGCGGTCGAACAGCGCGCGAAAGACGCTGGAGAAGGCGCTGGAGCTGATGCCTGAAGCGGAGCGCGAGGAGGAGGAGCCGCCCGGGCAGGAGGAGGTGGCGCCCGAGGCTGTCGAGCCGCCCCAGGTCGTGCAGGAGCCGGCGAGCAACGCTGACATGCCCGACGTGACGCAGAGCTGCGAGAACGATCCGAACTCGTAGGTCGCTTTCCGTTTTTCGATATTCAGCTTTGATCGCCTTGCACGTTTCGGTTGGGTTTCGTTTGGTGCGGAGAGGAGAGGAGCCGGCGAAGAAAAAGAGGAACATGTGATATTGTATGTATATAAAACACGTAATGTGACGCATTTTACTGAATTTTTATATTGACCGGAGTGCATTTTCTTCCTCTGAAGCATGTTCCTGGTACTTGTCGTCGAGCGTTATTTATTTTTGACTACGTCTATGATAAAAATAGATTGCTAGTCCTGTAAATATAACAGTGTTGCCCATTTCAATTAGAACGATTCAAATAATTTATTCTTGAACCGATTCGGACAATATCGTTTTCAAGTATCAGGGAAACAAACGTTCTAGAATAACACGAAGATTCATGATTCAAATGTTCAAACTTCATTTTTCAAATAATTGCGCCACTTATTCCGCAGGTCCAGAATAGTAATTATATACCAAGGTACAGAAAACATTTCACGGAAATGCTTCTGTCTAGTGTCTCGAGGGAAATCAGTGAACAAGGCGAAAACAGTCTTTGGTACTGTGGTTTCTGGTTTGTATATTATTTTTTTCTATTGCACATATTTCTTCCTAATGTAATTGATCGATCTTAAATCTTGAAAGTTCTGTGAGTAGTTAAGGTTGTCATTGAGAGTCGCTGAGTGTTGTCAGATGAGTGACATTTTAAATTAGAATCGAATTGAAAGTATTTACCTACGGCCACTATAGAAAGTAGGCAAGAACACACGAGATATTTCAGACATGATAGATGATGTCAATTGTTATTATCTATTATTTGGAGCGGAAAACTATGCTAATGCTATTGAAAGCAAAATTTGAATCAAGTTTAAAACATGATGATTATGTGTGTTATGACGCTAGTAAAGAGGTTGCACCCAAATTTCATACTGGTAAAATACATTTTTATATAATAAAATGGTTGATAGCAATAGCAGTGTCAGTGTGGCTTGGAACTTGTGTTGATTAGAACATTTGATTCATGTTGCTCAAAAATATCGTTGGAATCTGTTCAGAAGGTAGAGAATTTACATGGATGGTTCCAATTGAAGTGTGCCACACATCAACATGCATACTACCACTCAGTCCCCTTTTTTTCAAATTAACGTTTTTATCCAGTATAGGCTCTTGGAGTCAGTGAATGAGTTAACAATGTTGATAAAAAAATTGCTTCTTTTCTAGTGAATTTTGAAACACAGTTAACGTTAACCCCATCGAGAAATTCAATGTAAATATCTAGGAAAACATTAAAAATTTGTACTTTCTTTATATCAGTTATTGTTCTGTATGAATGAATATTGGGTTGATAGAAAATTTCAGTAAAACCATCTCTCATCAACTTCTTCAATGAGAACACACATCCAAATCAAATTCAACAGATAATATCTCATTTGAGGTGAATAAATTCAATAAAGTGATGTCATCCATACAACATTGCATGGAAGAATTTTGATAAGTTCAATTTGATATCCAACCAAATTTCAATGTGAATCCATGACTATTTTGTTCAGAACAGAATATCATTGTTGCTGACAGGAATGAGTAATCAAGAAGTGATTCCTCATTTTTTCTGCGATAGGGTATACGCGTGTTTACCGGGTGTCAACGAATTCATTAGACAAGCTATGGTTTCCAGAGTTTCGACGGTATGAGATTCAAATAAGGCAGGGGTATAAGATTCAAAAATTGAAAAATGTTGTGATATTTCATATTCTTCCATCACATCAGAATCGATTAGGAATAATCATAAGAAATTCAACGATAATGGGTTTATTGTACTTTTGAAAAACTTCATTGATATCTGAATAATTAGCAATTCCTAATCATAATTCGAATTATTTTGAATTTGTAAAGTAATGACAACAAGGCGATAATCTTCGGCTGAATGTAGTGTCAGACATTCATGGTAAATTTACCAGAATGAATAACTATTGAACGATTAATCTTAACTCTAAAGAATTGTTCACATATTTAGTTCAAATGTTATTTAAGGAGACATCATAATGTGTTGAATAGCAACGTCCCTTTCATTCTTGTCATATTGTCAAATGTTTCCAAACCAACGACTGTCGCCGGCAGTGATCGAGTGATAACTTCTTATATGCTTGGAAAACTTCTTTATTGGTTGAATTTCTTGAGTCTTGTGGTGTTTTACATGATTCATGTGTTGCCTCATTTTCTAATGGAGATATAGAAGTTTATAAGTGTGGCCCAAAGCTGAACAGTTATGTGAGTGTCAAAGGAAGTATTTCAAAGATTGTCTAATGGATTAGAAGATCAAGAATGAGTAAACCATATAAGTATGATCCAATTTAATTTAGCGGTCATTTCGATATTCATCGGCCTACTGTTCTAGTCTACAACTCTAGCGCCACTGGTGATATTGGTGAACTTGAACTTGATCAAGAATGAGTAAACCATATAAGTATGATCCAATTTAATTTAGCGGTCATTTCGCTATTCATCGGCCTACTGTTCTAGTCTACAACTCTAGCGCCACTGGTGATATTGGTGAACTTGAGGTGATTTAAATCATCACTGAATGAGACGATCAAATCAAATATGTCGACATTGAGAGATTATTCTGAATCCATATATGGAAACAGTTCGCTCACTAATCTTACTATACTTATCTAAACATCTCGGTATTGACACTGTTCTGTTGACTGTTCTGAGCATAGGGTTGTCAGTTCGTAAATAATTTCATGGTCAATGAGTAATTGAGTGTCAGATATTAGATTGTTTAATTCATCATTTTGTCTAAAATTTGAATCTATTTCATGGAGTATTTTCTCCTGCCATATCAATATGATAGAACCAGCCTGTTTATATTTTCACAGAGTCCATAGTCCTTTGCAATATTCGTGATGCTGAGAGTATTATGAAAGCTAACATATTTTAATTGTCCCCCAGATCGCGGTACTCAGGCGTAAGGTTTTCCATGGCACATAATTTTTGTTGTTTCATTTGGACTCTATTTTGGGATATATTCTTCTCTGTTGATGTAAAAGTTACTTGTAAAGTTTACAACGACATAATATCCTACTATCTAGACCGCAAATGCCATAAGACAAAAACTCATCAACTCATGAGATCGAAGTGGATCCCATGGAGCATGTGCATTTAGTTCCTGCCATATATCTTACTCTTATTTATGATTTCGAACATCGAATGTCAAAATTTCTAGAGAATGACGGTGAATACCAGTTGTCAACCCCAAATAGCATTTCTTCATCGGATTATTTATTCAGTGAGTCACTTAATCCTTTAATGTAGTCTTACTATGACATAATAATATCATCGACTGCCATTCAACCTGTTTTCCCGGACATTTGAATCAGGAGAGGCTGAATCAGAAAATACATTCCACGGCATAATTGGATACAAAATTTCATGTGATACATTGTAGTTATATGTAATTTTGTTGTCAGTGCTGGCGTGGTGGAGAGTGTTTTTAATTTCCCCGGCGATACTAAGCACATGCGGTGGAAATATGTATTAGATGATCCATTTGGCCAATGTATTTTGAGATATTTCCACCGTTTTCAAGTTGACTTATATTTACATTGTGTTTTTTTATAGTTGGAAACATATTCGAGTATTATTAATTTTATCCATGATAATAGGAAAGTATGAGTGTAATTCGATAAAGCAGATAATTATGACTATACATATCATGTACCAGTCTGAGAAGTGAGCCCAACATATCGTTCCCTTGTTCTTTTATGCACGACCAGGCGTAAAGTAGCTCAGGACATCTATGTTTTACTTGTGATGGTTCATTGTCTAATATTACTGTTCTGTTGATTTTTTGAGATGCAAAATGATATGATCAAACCCAATAGTTATTTATACACTAAGCTAGTAAATAATATCATTTTTCCCATGGACCAAGTTTATATCCCGAGGCTTCAGCTATTGTCACTATGAAAGCATTTCTTTTCAATTCTAAGAAAAATTTAGTAGCCATGACCATGACAGCATATGACAAGTCGTTATTGATAAATACCTGCTAGATTCCAGTGCCATTCTTGCGACTCTCGCATCAGAACAGTTGATTCGGGTTGAATAATCATAACAGAGGTGGCTGGCTATGTCTTCATTGACAAGTCATAAAATGACAAAAACTACCTCCACGCCTTGAAAAGGATTAAATAATAGTAGGTTCTATAGCCAGTGGTGGAAAAAATAAGTTATATGTGATGGCATTAATTGACAGCAAATAATCGTGTACTCTGTTATATATTAGCAGTGATATACTTGGCAACGTCGCAGATGCGATTCGTCAGTAGTTCCTGAGATGTCGTACTCAATATACCGCTGATCAATTAACATGACGTTAAATAAATACCATCTTGTGTAAAGTGTCGTCTCCTTTATAGCATTATCAGTTATGAAACAATAAAGTATATTACATGGTGGCAGCGGTGGGATTTCGAAAAATTGACTGAGTTGCCATGGTAACTCGCTATCGCTTGGGCTCTTAGGTCCATAAAAGTCTATTTTACTACCTTCATATATCATTAACTATTAACATCAGTGATGATCTGAAAGTGGTAAATTTCAGTAAATGTGCATAGAAAGAACAGAAGAACTCAACCGGAATGAGCCAAATTGTCGAAAACAGGAAAGTTAAAATCTAAATTTCATAGATTATCCATTGTTCACTTAACCTTAGTCAATACCAAATTATCGCAGCCATATTAGCAATTAATTGATGCTGAACTGTTTCTTATATAGCTTTGAATGATTAAAAATAATAATTACTCATTCTTATTCAACTGGATGATAAAATTATTTCAAGAAGAAAATGTGGTATTTTTAAAACAGAGATGGATACATTATCTGCTTTAATTATTCTTGTATCTAACAGTAAAATTATCAACATGATCTAAAGTGCAAAGCATAATTCAGGAATATGAATCCTATAATTCATGAAATATCAATGAGAAACTTGATTGCAATTCTTACCA